TTTATACCATTGCCTAGGTGATTGCTTTAGACCATACAATGATTTATGCAACATGCAAACATGATTGGGCAGTTTTTGTCTAAGAATCCATCAGGTTGAGTCATAAAGATTTTTTCTTTGAGTTCACCATATAGAAAGGTTGTTTTAACATCTAGTTGTTCAATTTCTAAATCATGGTGAGTTGTTATAGCAAGCATTAACCTAATTGTTTTAAATTTAACAACAGTTGAAAAAAACTCATTAAAATCTATTCTAGTCTTCTAATTGTAGCCCTTAGCAACCAAACGGGCCTTATACCTAGGAGGATCAGTAGGAGACATACCTTCTTTGAGTTTAAATAGCCATTTGCATTCCACAAGTTTATGGTCTTTGGGTTTAGGGACCAAAGACCATGTGCCATTTACCTTTAGGGATTACATCTCCTTCTCCATTGCTGATTTCCATTTCTCTTTCTCTTTGGACCTTATGGCCTCATCATATGTTTCTAGTTCAGACCTCTGGACTTCTGTACCTGCAAGCAAAGCTATGTATATTAAATCTTCATATGAAAACCTAGCTAGGGTTCTTATTTCCCTTCTAGTTCTGTATCTTGCCAGTTGGTAATGGGACAAGTCATCTTGTTGAGGTTTTTCTACATCTTCAGCTTTAACAAGGTCATGTGGTATGGTTTCAGCCTCTAGTTCAAGTTCCAAATCTTGGTGAGATGGTTCAGTTTGCTATGGTGTTGACTCCACCTCAATTGGAGTAACATCCAATTGATTTGGTTAGTGGCATTGTCATTTAGATCAATTTCAGTCCTGATAGTAGACTTACAGGGAAAAATATTCTCATTAAACACCACATCTCTACTAATTATGACTTTAACCCCTAGTGTATCTCTATCCCACAGCCTATAACCCTTGGTTCCTTCTTGGTATCCTAAGAATACACATCTTATAGACCTAGGTTCCAACTTCCCATCCTTTGTGTGTGCATAAGCAACACACCCAAAGATTTTCAGATGGCTTAAGTTCAAATCTCTCCCTGACCACTTTGATTTTAGGCACTTAAAATCTAGGGCACTAGATGGGCTTCTATTTACTAAGTATGCAGCAGTGGTAAGGGCTTCTCCCCAGAAAGACTTAGGCTAACTCGAGGTAAACAAGAGACATCTTACATTCTCTAGGAGAGTTATATTCATTCGATCAGCAATACCATTTTGCTGGGGTGTTCTTCTAATTGTCCTATGTCTTAGGATTCCCTAATCACTACAATACTTATCAAATTTTGCATTACAAAACTTTAGGCCATTATTAGTCCTAAGAGCCTTAACCCTCATATCAGTTTGATTTTCCATTAACAATTTCTAGCTTTTAAATTTGGTTAAGGCCTCATCCTTAGATCTAAGTAAGTACACCCAGACTTTTCTACTGAAATCATCCACAATTGAGAAGAAATAATTATTTCCTCTATGGGACCTAACCTGTTCAAGTCCACATAGATCAACATGAAGGTATTCTAGACAATTAGTAGCTAGATGGGTTCCTTTTGTGAAACTACCCTTGTGTTGCTTGCCTAGCATGCATGTTTCGCATAAATCCAAAGATTTAATAGTATCTTTGCCCTGTTGACCTAAGATATCCAACCCCTTTTGACTCATGTGACCTAATCTTAAATGCCATTTTTATGTTGCATTCAGATTTGAAGGAATCAGTGCACTATTGTTATTCCCTACGCAAAATATACAACCCATTTCTTTTCAGCCCCCTTAGCACTAAGTTGTTATTCCTGTATACATTGATGCAACTATTTTCTACCCTATAACAATAGCTAGCTTCATCTAAAGTTCTTAGGGATATTAGGTTTCTTTTTAGTTCAGGAATGAACCTAACCTTAGACAGCATTATCAATTTACCATCTTCCAGTTTTAAGGTTATGTTACCTATTCCTCTAACCTTACATGCATTATTATTTCCCATGAAGATAGTCTCATGTTCATCATCCCTAAACTCTTGAAACCACTCCCTATTTGGGCTCATATGGAAGGAACTCTCTGAGTCTATGACTCACTCCTGAATCTAGTCTGATCTAGACACAGTGAGGACATCTAAGACAACAATGTTATCGCTAGTGGAGGTTACATTACTCTCAGTATTTCCCTGTTTTTGCTTTTTAATCCACTCAAAACAATTTTTCTTTAAATACCCAGTTTTGTTATAGTAAAAACACTTCCTAGTCTCCCATTTTGTTTTACTAACAACTTTCCCTTTCTTCTTATTCTTTGAGCCATTATTACATTGCATGTTATACCCTGACTACCTTGAGTCTACTTTACCCTTTACAAACAAATTATTGCCATTCCTCTTCTGGACCTTTAACTCTAATTCTCTAGCTTTTAATGCAATAATTATTAGGTCAACACTAGGTGCAATACCAATGTATTGAAGTGCATTTTTAACAACCAGGTACTCATTAGTTAGGGAATTTAATAAAATCATGGCTAAACTAGTATCACCTAACTCCTGATCTGTTCCTTTTAGAATGAGAGTCACTTTCAGAAATTTGTCCAAATTATCCTCTAAAGACTTTGAATTATCCATTTTATAAGAGAATAATGCACCTTTAAGAAAAACTAAATTTGGAGTTGACTGTAAAGCATACAATGTTTCGAGTTTACCCTATAAGGTGAGAGGAGTTTCCATGCCGTCTACCTTCCTCAGCACATTGTCTGAAAGGTTCATCACGATCAGATTGTAGGCTTCCTCATCAACCTCAACTTTTTCTTCAGTTTTTCCTCTGGCCACTTCATTGAGTCTTTCTCCAGAGCAATTGCAACCTTGTTGTGTGACAACAATGCCTTCATCTTCTTCTTCCAGCTATTGAAGTCAATTTTCTCATCGTATTTGGAAATTTCCATCCATGTGATACTCATGGTGAGGTGTTTGTCAGACAGTGTTGATCACTCTAAGAACCCTAGAATCTACGAATTGATTCTGATCTCAAACAATTGAAGCATTAATTGAATGAAGCAGAAACCGTAGATTATCTAGGAGTAGTCAGATTTCAAAACCCCCAAATTTTTTTGGTAAACCCTAGATCTTCGAGAGAAATTTTCGAATCAAAGAATCTTTTGACTTAAATCTAAGATCTAAGAGCCCTAGAGTGCTAAGGAACAATCAGGTCAAGAAAGCCCTAAATTTCTACAAAACCCTAAAATCCCAGAAGCTCAATTTGATTTACCCGAAACAATTCAAGAAAGACTAACCGTAGAAGTTCTAGCTTTGATACTAATGTTGTGATTTGACCCAACTAACTACCAAGAACATTTCTTGCAAACACACACAAACAACACACAAGAATTACTGTGGTTCACCTATTCAAGGGTGAATAGGCTACGTCCACATTGAGTTCCACAACTGATGGGGCTCTCTGCACTAATCAATTCAAATATCCAGATTACAAGTCAATCAAGACTCAATCTCTTTACACAAGCTCAAATCCCTCTTCTCAAGACAAAACAGACCTGTAATCAAACCTAGGAGAAACTCTAACTTAGAGACCCCTAACCTAAGAGCAATCTACCCTCTAAGAGTGAATTTCAGCCACACTCAATTGATTATAGCAGATCTGTAAGAATAGAACAAAAATACATAGCAAGAATTAGTCAAAAACACAGCAAAAACGTGAGCAAAAGTGAGAGAATATCTGATATTTTGTTAACTTGAATTATGGGAAAAGTAGACTGCTTTTATATTACTATAGACATGGTTGAATGAGAGGCGTGAGATCTTATTGGGAATCAATGGCTGGATGTATGTTTTAACTTTAGGCAAATACGACAGTGTTTCCTGACTTCATTTACAACACCTATAAATCTTGATATTGCCTTAATTTAGTATAGATTTTATTATTATAATTTAAAATTTAATATTGAGTTATTTTAACAGGTGTAAAAAAGATTTACTTATATATATATATATGATGATCGGAGATGTTTGGTCCAATTTACGCGATCTCAACTAATCTCTCGGAACCTTGGAATTATCAGTCGGATAAGAGTTCCAATGACTATCCTTATTAGCACTAGCACTCAAGGAGAGACTCAAACTTAGGACCTCTTGAATAAAACACTTAAGAGTCTATGTTGAACCACTCGGTCATCCAAATGTAGTTTATGTTGATGTGTATTATATATTAAAAAAAATATTTATGTATTAATATTATCTTCTAATTTTTTTAACGTGAGCTCTTTTAAGTGAAGACAACCCTTTAATATCAAACATTAGATATGTAATCTACTGTTGTTTAATATTTTTGTGATAAACTTTACTATTTATATTATAAATTTAGGTTCTGAATTGCAAGAGCTTCACAACAATTGGGCAAACCCATTGGCTGACCCATTAACGCCAATGTCGGAGGGGAGGGGAGGGGAGGGGAGGCGGGAATCGGGAGATGGGAGAGTGGAAGAAATCGCGAAAAGGGAGCGTGAGAGATTAGTGAAATATTAATATTCCCATGCAAAATAAAGGAGAGTGGGGAGGGGGACATACCGGACCGGGAAAAGGTTCATTCGGTCGGGACACTTCGACTATTCAATTATACACCAAACCACAAGAACTATCTTTGAATCAAATTGTAACATTCCTTACCTTATTTTATTTCTTTTTAATATTAAACCTTGTATTTGCCTATTTATATAAAAAGAGCTGGTCACCACTCTCTCTCTCTCTTGTAATCTAGCTGACCTCACTACTATTTCTACTTGTATTACTTTAAGTTTTCCATGCAAGAGGAGAGCCACAACATTAACACTAATATCTTTTACTTAAGCAGAGAGCATTTCATTTCAAAGAAAGCTTATTAGTTAAGAAACTGCTAAAAAGCAATAAAACAAAAAGAGACGACCGAGAAAAACAACCAAATTTTTATTTATATTAAAATTAAAATTAATATTATTAATATATATATATATATAAAGCCACTCACTATCTAGCTACCTCCTTTATTTTTACTTCTCATCATCCTCTTCTTTCTTTATCTTTCTCTTCACTCCCTTTCTCTCTCTCTCTCTCTCTGCAACTCGCTCTTGTATGTTGATGTGATTCTCCACTATATTATCTCACAAAGATAAAAAATAAAAACTCCATCAACCTTTTACAAAAGAAAGCAAGAAAGATCAAGAACCAATATGGTTTTTTCCTCCATCCCAGCTGCTTATCTTGATCCAGCCAACTGGCAACAAGTAAGGGTTTTGTTTCTTTCTTCTCTTCAATTGTGTTCCACAAGTAGTTTCTTTGCCAAAAAAGCAAAATTCAAAAGATAAATATTCTTTTTACTTTTGTTTTATCTTGTTGATATACCAGATATGTGATAATTTTTGTTTTTTCCTTTTTTTTTTTTTTTTTTTTTTTTTTGTCAATTTTACAGCAACTAAATCACCAAACGGGAGCAAATAGCGGTGTAAATACTACTCATCAGTTTGCTCCTCCTCCTCCTCCACCGCCACCACCTCCACAGCCTCATGGAAGTGGTGGTGTGGGCTCAATCCGGCCCGGATCGATGGCTGATCGAGCCCGTATGGCCAACGTACCGATGCCGGAAACAGCACTGAAATGTCCACGATGTGAATCAACCAACACTAAATTTTGCTACTTCAACAACTACAGCCTTTCTCAGCCTCGCCATTTCTGCAAAACTTGCAGACGTTACTGGACAAGGGGCGGCGCCCTAAGAAATGTTCCAGTCGGAGGCGGCTGTAGAAGGAATAAAAGAAGCAAAGGAAGTAGCTCCAAAAGTCCAGTGAGTAATGATCGCCCCACCGGTTCTGGTTCCACAAGCACAATGTCTTCTAATAGTGGAACCAGTGATATGTTAGGCCTCGGCCCGCAGGTTCCACCACTGAGGTTCATGTCTCCTCTTCATCATCTCAGTACTGAATTTACTGGTGGTCATGATATTGGCTTGAATTATGGTTCAATTTCTGCTCCAATTGTAGGAGCAACAAATGACTTGAATTTTCACATAGGTAGTGCTTTAGCTAGTGGCGGCAGTGCGGCTACCGGTTCTCTTTTATCATCTTTAGGTGGTCTGGATCAGTGGCGCTTGCAACAAGCTCAGCAATTTCCATTTATGGGTGGCTTAGATTCTTCTTCTACAGGGTTATACCCATTTGAAAGTGGTGTTGAGCCATCCGGTTATGGTAATGCTGGGGGTCAGGTCCGGCCTAAACTTTCTACTTCTGGGGTTAACGTTTCTCAGTTGGCTTCGGTGAAAATGGAGGACAACAATGAGATGAATTTGTCAAGACAGTTCATGGGGATTCAAGGAAATGAACAATACTGGAATACCGGTACTGCATGGACAGATCTTTCTAGTTTTAGCTCTTCTTCAACAAGCAATGCCTTATAGATTTGATCTCTTGCGGTGGGAATTAACTAGACGGTCGGTGAAGTTTCCCTTTTTTTTTTTTTTTTTTCCAGTGCAGCTTCGACTAAAGAATATGATCAAGACAAAGTTACTTTCGAGTTTCAACTCCATAGATGGATGTTTTCAAATCCTAATACTTCAAGATGGAGATTGAGGGCTTAGTTTCTTCTATATCAACTTTAAACCCTAATATTGGTAGGTTTTTTCTGTTATTTTCCTTTTGAAGTTAGTTTTAGGTTGCAATGTATGGTTGTGTTTGGAATGGTGAGTGAATGAGAAATTGAGTTTTATATACTAAATCTACATCTTTAGCTCAATATTTCAATCGAAACTCCTTGTTAAAGTTTCTCATGGAGCACCTTGGCATTCTTTTATCCACCATTTTAATCAGATTTCCAGAAATGAATTAGTTGATTTCAATAATTTAATCAATATTTGAAGTGTAAAATTCAATTTATATATTTCTATTATGAACCTCTTTTCTAGTAACGAAAACTTTAATCTTATAAAGATCAATTTAATTTTTTAGTTAAGGATCGATCGATGCACCCTTTAAGAAAATCTTCTTAAAAGCTCTCTTCGGAATTATTCTTGCAGTTAATTTTGGAATATAAGAGTTCAGAATCCAAAGTTTTAAGGCTTTTTTCTTTTGATTGGATACCATTTTGAAGTTAAAAATTTCGGCTTCATCGTTTCATACTTGGCGTTATTTTGTTATTAAAATTTAAAACCCTTAAACATATACCTTAATTATTCTTACAAACTAAATGAAAGCTGTTTTCAACTCCTAAAAAGGTGGTAATTAACTTGCTTGTGATTATAGCAATCTTGGTTGAAATGGAGACTTTACCGGCCAACAGGAAAAAGCCCCCAAGATTTGAATTATATATATATTTCTAATTTCTTCGTCTTGTGAACATACAGTAGTTAGTTAAGATAGAGTTTTTAAACTAAGCAATAATCTAGATATAAAAAAAGAACCCTGATGGCAAACAATAATTTGTTAACAAATCTTCGATCCTAGTGCAAGATGATAGTGAATATATATTTATTGGGGTATTTCAACAACCAACTACAATATGGCAGCTCTTAACTTTCCTCACATCTCAGTTGTTTGCTTGTTTCTGTGATTACTTTATCATTAACGAGTTGAATATATAATGATCTAGAAACTTCAGCTATAGGTAAATATGTTGATATGATCGAGTTCTAATAGTTTGTTCCTTTCTCCTTAATGTCCAAGTTTTCAAATATGAAGGCAGCCATAGCTGACTTCAGTACAATCATAAACTAAAGAGAAAAAGGTATTTTCTAGCCTATCTTCGTTATTAAGTATAAAGAAGCCTTGCTCATAATGGTGATAAGAATATATTTACAGTATCTTTAATTTCTTTCCATTTTCTGCAACAATGAGAATGATATGAACAGTACTGGTCTACTTTACTCTTTGTTGTATAAAAATTGAATGAAGAAATCCACCTAGAGTTTAGTGACTTCCAACTCTCCATAAGAAACCAATTGTTTTACGATGCATGTGCATTTGATTAATACTATTATCATTGCATGAATGAGAGAGAGAGAGAGAGAGAGTGATAGAAACCGTTAATATTTTATTAATAAAAATCCAAAACACTGGTTAGGTAGAGACTGAAGAAGAAGAAGAAGAATAAAGAGAATGATTTTGTAATAATGTGATGTTTTTTTTCAAACTGAGTGAGATCATGATTCATGAGAACCAATCGCTAATATTATATTTTTATAAGAAAGATTACGCAAAGGGACAAACGCCTCAAAAGACTCTAAAATGCTCCTAAATTCCAAAACCAAAAATCAACCTAGTGTTCAAAAACTGTTAAGAATAATAACAGAGAAATCTCTTCTCGAAGTTTGTTGCAGAAGAAGAATACAGAAAAGACTGCAAAGGAAGGCCACACAGGGTCAAAGAGATTGATCACTGACACTCATTACTCCAGTGAAATAAATGACTACTGACTGAATCAATCAATGAATTGAATTGAATGTCTGACTCTGACCCTTTATCCTTTATGACGCGCGTGAGCGCGTCGTTCTTTCACGACTAACTAGAAGACAAAGTACAGTTTTGTCAGTATGTTGACCTGACAGGAGCAGGCTCCTTTGTCCAAGTAACTTCACGCGGTTTAGAGTAATGTGGGATTCTGGAACTATTGTTAATGTTACATTCACTACAGAACCTGTAACTCAAGCTTCTGTTAAACTTGGTTCCCATTTGGTCATGCTACTGACACACTAGGATCTCTGTGTTTGCTCCAATTTAACAGAAACGACTTTGACCTCTCTGTTAGAGAATTGGGGCCCAGCTCAGCCTCAAAATTTTCCTGCCGATTTTCCAGGGAAAAAAAAAAGAGTTTTCTCGGTAAAAAAAAAAAAAAAATTATTTTGTTTCAGTCTTTGATTTAACGGTTGTTTGGACAATTTGTTAGAATATCTTAGTTGACAAAGTTTTTATTAGTTTATGAATGAAAAACGTTTTTTGAATTCTTTGTCTTGTACAATTCTACTGTCATTTTAATGTAAGATATATGGGAACATTATCTTGTATTGGCTTTTGTATTGTTCTCACCCACAAAAAAAAAAAAAAGAATATATTTATGATTAAAAAAGACTTTTGATTTAGATGTCAAAGATGAAAATTCCTTTATATTATACCTACAGAGAACATTCTTTTGATGCTTCCTACTTTTGTTTGATCCATGAACTAAATTTTCCCTTCATTTCTGGGTAGATATATTGTAAAGGTTACTTGGCTAAGTAAACCATTAAAGACAAATAATTACAGTGTTTTTGTAATTGATACAATTAGCGGAGAAATTTTAGTGAAGTGTTTGCTGAAAGCTGGACAAACTGTTCATCAATATGGGCTAATGTTTTTCAAGGGGTATAGAAACAAAAAAGTGAAATGCATGCATATAAAAAAAAAAAAAAAATCAGATTAATTAGTGCCTTAATGTTGGACCGATGTTCAAATATTGAATATAATAGAAAAAAATCTATCTGGGTCAGAAAGAAACTGCCCTCACATGTAGCTACAAATATTAATAAAATAGAAATAAATAATATAATGAAGTAATTGTTATAATTGGCATATTATATTCCAACTGGGATTGGCCATCTTGAAAGAAAGGAATCTGGAGTGTTTTTGGATTTGCTTTTGCAAGAACCAAGGCTGCTTACCAAGAACGAATAAAGCACATTCAAAACCGTCAAAAAATAAAGGAGCACACAAACACATACTCTCTCTCTCTCTCAAAACAGTCATAGATGGATAGAATAGCAATAATAATCGCATAGTTTGGTCGGTCGGGTCATCTTCAATAATATTTTTTCTCTGAGTGATCCCCAAATTATATAGATATGTGAGCAACTTCTGGTGTATTATTAAGTTCTATAAAAAGACATAAAGAGAAAACTATAGTACGAAGAAGAATTGGCTCGGAAATCCAAGCCAAATCTTAATGATCTATATATTTTCATATTGAAATGTGTTCAATGACTTCTCATATTGATACCCACATGGATTTGTGTGAAAAAATTCTCTCTCTAACTTGTAGCAGCAGCTTTCACTTTTGTAACGTCCTTGTTATATAACATGGTCTCTCTCTCTCTCTCTCTCTCTCTCTCTCTCTCTCTCTCTCTCTCTCTTTCTCTAGTTGATCTCGATGAACAAGTGGAGAATGAAAGTAAGAGACTCAGATTCCAATCTCTTCTGAGTCCTCACGTTCTCCCACATGTGCTCAATCATACACATGCATGTCCCAGAATTTTAGATTCCATTCTCCCCGCCCTATTCATTCATTTCTCTTATGAATTCTCTTGACCCCACTTCACTAAATGACCTTTAGGTTCCTTAACAGTCTCATAATTCTACTGTGATTTCCTTAACTTGGTTAATATTCAATCATTCAAACACCATTAAGTGGACTTCTGCAGCTCTCTGTCATAATCAAACATATCACCATCTCCACTGGGAATTTGCCAACCTAAATTTTTTTATTTTATCAGCCGTAAGTTGACATAAACTACGTGTAAATTTAATTAGGATTAAAAGAAAGAGATCTGCATTTTGAGTCTCCACTTTAAATGCGTATCAAACTGAAAATAACTCTTTTCTTTATCACCATATCTGTATCCTTGTGTTGGCTGGGCCAAGTGAATGGACCAATCAAAGTTGGAAGACAAATCACTTTCAAGGGTAGCAGCATCCTAAGATGTCACTTTTTCATGTGTCCAAAGAGCCATGGAATTGACCATATATATTTTATAACAATTTAAAGAGGAGAGCTGTAACACATCCATCCACTGTGCTGGAACAATATAAGCCGTCGGATGTAATGGATGGGATGAGAAATCTAGTTGGCATTGGCCATTCAACAATCTGGCTCTTAATTTTTTAAGATGAATTATTAGTTCTTAGTACTTAAGGCATATACTTATAATCTAATCAATGTGCCTATTGCTATATAGTATTCAATGTTCCGCATGAGATGTAGCACGCGTGTGTGTGAATACTATATATATATATATATATATATATATAACTTCTGATTTAGTAATGATATTGATATGCATTCTCTCAAGTACAGGATAATATGATTCTTCAATTTTCTGGAGCTTAATTGAATCATGTGTATTAAATCATGTGTTAAGAATAGAATATTTGTAATATATCTGGCACTTCATAATGAAAAAGCTTTACTGGAGAGGAGATGGAGTACAGTTTAGAAATCAAAATGATTCCATATATATATAGATTTCATGAACTCTAGATATATATAATATGATCCATTTTATATTTTATTCTTCAAAACCACGTTAAAGAAGTTGTGCTATAATCAATGACAGAGTAGTCAGTAGTCAGCTTATTTTAATTAAGAGGCACGAAAGCAGTGGCTTCATTTCTGTAAAAACAATATACTAATTGAAAAAGAAGATATAGATGAAGCATTTTGCACTATGGTATAGCAAAGTGGTGTGTCATCTTCATGCAAAACAAAATTAAATTCTCTTCATTGTGATTTGCTTATCAGTAATCATGAAATATATTTTAACATTTATAAAGAACTTGGGGTCGGTGTCTTCTCAGTGTGTTTTGATTGATATATATATATATATATATATATATATATATATAGATGGGAGTTTATTTTTGTTATTTTGTTTTGTGTCTGCATATGCATGGAATGGATGCTTGCGTGAGGAAGCACTCAGTTTTTGGCTTGTTTTTTTTATGCCCGTTTAAGTTTCACCTGTCCAGAAGGGAGAGGAGGAGAGATTTGTTTGACCCATTTGCAGAGATTAATGTAAACGCTGGAAAATTAAAATAGCTTACTCACTGTTATTTATGGCCTCTACTAATTCCAGGCCGGGGCAGTGCAGGCCTGCAGGGCCCAGCCATACTGCCCACTGTACTGATATATATATATGCAAGTTGCACTGATCGAAGTGGGGTCAACAGAATAAATAATTAATCCAGAAGATTGTTAAAATCAAATTTAGGGTTTGGCTCCAAGTTTATTTATTTATCTTTTCATTACTAGGATACACGGGTCAGCTTACGTACACCTTAACTAATTCTTTAAGGTCTTAGAATTGTCGGTTAGATAAGAAGCCTAATAGCCACCTGCATGAGAACCTGGGGAGACTCAAATTTAGGAGTTCATAAACCCTCATTTTGCTTTTTTGCCATTAGTCCATTCAACGGTGATGATTTATTAATTTTATGGAAAAAAAAAATTAGAATCCAAGGGTTTTCATTCTTGGTTATCTTTAAGTTTTAAACATCTTTAATTTTCTCACTTGTCAATTAAGAAATGGTTTATCTATAATTTTTCAAAAGAAAGTATAAAAATTTTGGCCGGTGAAAATTTTAATTTATACAGAACATTAATATTTAAAAGCCGAATCAAAGATGAAAAATTCAAGAAGAGGATCTAAACTTAAAATGGGTATGTCGATTTCTTCTAAGTTTCTGTAGTTCTCTAGACTTGACATTTCATGTAGGTTTTATAAGAGATCCTAACTTTGATTTTCATATAATTATTCACAGAAATTTTAATGGGTTTGGATTTGTTTCATCCACCAAAAAGTAGAATGTTAGTATAAGGAAATACAGGCCAAACTTTGGGCCTCAAAGTGGGTTTGGGCTAACCATGTTCATGTTGGACATTGGGATATTTCAGGAGAGATCTTTTATGTGTTGTAAAGAAATTAAATTCAACAAAGGTAAAATTAGGTTTCTCTAAAATTTGAAAGATTACAAGATCTGTGAATTGGAGAAGTAAAATGGTTCGATTTATCCTCAAAGCTGATGCACAATTGCGCATGTGAAGCTTCCCCTCAATCTCAGGCTTGAAATACTTAATTCCCAGAATGAGAAAAGAAACGCCCTCATCCAACAATGACCAAAATCCAAAAATAATGTAAACTCAATGTTATAGAATTTTAATCAATTACTACCTCAATGCTTACATACTTATTTTTCAACCGATTAAACATGTAAAAAAGTAGCACATGATATCATGCATGAGAAATGAGGATCTCTTATTAAACAAGAAACATATTAAATGATGACGAATTGAAAATACTGAATTAGCTCTGGAAACCATTTACAAAGACTAGCAAAACTTATAACGGTCGTTCAGAAAATACATTACAGAGTCCAAGGAATTATCAAATATTCATTTGATACTAAGACAGAAACATATAAGCACACATTAAAGTGTTCATATCAATTATTCTTCTTGTACATCTTTGTTCTTTTTCTTCTTCTTCTTCTTATTCTTCTTCTCAGTCATATCAGCCTCCCCATCACCTGCACTATTATCAATGCCAGAAGGCAATTTGGCATCAGCATCCAACTCTTGTTTGTCTTTCTTCTTCTCAGACTTCTCCACTGTGTCCACATCTGAAGAAACTACATCCCCGTTCTCTTTATCCTTCTTTTTCTTTTTCTTCTTCTCTTTCTTTTCAACCTCAACCCCCACCTTCATCTTCTCACCCTTCAATTTCTCTTCTTCTTCCCCAACTCTAATTCTCTTAGCAGGAACCTGAACAGGGCTGTCAGTGATTTCGTCCAATTTGCGCTTATGACCATCCCCAACTTCCTCATCCTTGCTTTTCTTCTTCTTCTTTATCTTTTCCTTTTCCACCTGAGCCAGTTCAGCTGCAAGCCTTGCAACCACAGAATCCCCACCAGTTGGTAAAACCACATTTCTCAACCATTCAGCAGGAGTATTCCCATTTGGCTTTCCATGCTTATCCAATATCCCTTCTGCAATCATCTTCTTCTTCATCGAGGCTCTAGGCCCCAATCCCCACTTCCTTGGATAAGTATCCCTATCCATCACAACCCTCTTAATCTTTGCCACCGCACCATGATCACAAGTTGCCATCACCGCAGTAGTCATCTCTGCAATGCCCAATGCAATTGCTTCCCCTTTCGTAGTCATTAGCACAATTTCCTCCCCAACCTCAATATCATTCTCAAACCTCAACAGCCCTGGAATCATCAACTTCGCCCCGTAACAAATCGCATTCACAGCTGAATCCTTCACAACCAATCTCTTATAACTAGTCAACAACACTTCAAGCGGCATAACAACCCTCCTCAAATAACTCTCATCCCTGTAATTATCATAAACCCATTGCGCATCCATCACATCCTGCATTGTAACCATATTATCATTCTCCCCCATAATCCCAGACCTCACTCGCCTAAGTTCCTGCATATGACCACCAACGCCAAGAATCAATCCCAAATGCACACACATAGTCCTCACATAAGTACCAGCCTCGCAAGATATCCAAAAAACAACTAAATGCCGATCAGGGTCATACTCAAGCAACTTACTTTCATATATAGTCCTAATCCTAAGCTGTCTTTTAACCGCCGAAATCAACGGTGGCCTTTGAAACACAGCCCCAGTTAAAGTTTCAAGTGCTCTAGCAACTTTTGCCACGTCAGGCATTTTATTATGCAATCTTGCGACACAAATATACTCTTTACCAGCCCCTTGTTGAGATTTAACAAGGCGCGTGGCTCGATCAAGGCAAACAATAAGGTTACCGGTCACTTTGGGGTCCAAAGTACCACTGTGACCGGTTTTTTCAACGCGTAGAAGGCGTTTGATCCACGCAACAACCTCGTGCGAAGACGGGTTAGCGGGTTTATCAAGATTGAGAACACCGTACCTTAAGTACTCGGTAAGAGGGCGCTTGAGAGGAGAGTAACCGGTGGGAATAGGAGTGTAGTGTCCGGTTCGTACATTGAGACGGTCATAGTTTTTTAACAAGATTGGCCATTGAGATGTGTCCACTGGGGGAGTGAAGTTCTGGGGTTTGATCGTGAAGTCCGTGGAGTCATTTTGAATTGGGTTGGGATCGGAGCCGGTGGTGGTTTGGTCTTGTGAACGACGAAGCTTTTTCTTTTTCTTCTCCGAACGAGAAACTTCGACCTCGGACATGGCTCACTGTGTAGTACAGAGTAGCGCAGTATAGTTATTAGTTTGTTCTGGTTTTTTCTAGGGTTTTAGAAATTTCGCGGCCAAAGTGAAGTGGCTTTTGTTTCTACTTTTCATTTCGGTGGGTTTCTTTATTGGCCTCAGGCTCAATGGCCCCAGGCTCAATAAATATTTATAGATGGGTTTTGCGTGGGTCAATTGAGCTACATTCCGGTTGTTCAAGGCTTCGAGCTGCAGCCCAAATGATGAATTTAAGATTGGTTCTAGACGAGACGAGTCAACCTGAATTGAAAATTTCTGTTTGTTTAAGGTTTTAAGAATAAGATTTAATCAAATAGAAATAGAATAAGATTACGAGAATATGTTTGCTATATTTTCTAAAAATATTTAAATTATTTTTAATCTATTATATTTGTTAATTTAACTAAACACTTTCACAATAAAAGTTTAAAATTACTCTCACCCACCCAACTATTGTCAATAGTCGGCCATTACCGTCGGACGATGGCTAAAGTCACCAAAATGGCGTACGACCTATTGGATCTGGCCAGTAGTGTGTCGATCTAACCGAAAACGATCAAATCTAACTAAAAACATCCAGATCGGTATACAATCGACCAGATCCAACTAATCGTGCAGCATTCCAACGACTTCCGACCATCGTTTGGCAGTGGTGGTCAATTGTCGGCAATAGTTGGATGGGTAGAGGTGTTTTTGTTAACTTATAAACTTTTATTGAGAAAAATAATTATTAATATTTTAAGTTGAATAGAATATGATTGGATTTTGAATTGAATAATCAATATTAAAACAAATACATATTCCACTGGATTTGATAGGATAGGATATGATTGGAAAAGTTAAACAAATGGGGGGTGTAATTGAATTGTCAATTTATCTTTATGAATACACCTGATTATATGAAGATAACAAAGCGTGCGAATTGCTAAATCAAGCAAATTTGTTCCCCTTTTTTTATCTTATTATTAGTCATTAATTTTCATTTTCATCTTCAAATTTTTTTTTTTTCTTTTTCGAAAGTTTCTCATTTTTGAAGAAACAGCATTATTGTTTAGCAGCCATTGAAGAGACCGGCCCTGGAGCCAAAGAAAAGATATATCTTAAACATCAACACATGAACCACCCTAATCTTTGCTTACAGTCTCAGCTCTCAGGTGTCTAATAATTAGCACGGATTCGGAATTAATTTAATCAATGCATGCAGTTAAATTGATTACGGCAGATTTCTGTTCTGAATAAATACTGAATCTTCCGTTTTGCCATCGACTGTACTGAAATTTCAAAAGAGTCGGAAGAGCCAAGTGAATCAATTGCAGAATCTGAGTGAATATCAATTGTGGATGAGATGTTTTCCTTACACATTGAAGGACATATCAAAGAGTTGGTTCATGTCTTTGACACCAGCTTCACTTGCCACTTGGGATGTAGTCTACAACAAGTTCATAGGTAAATTCTATTCTCATGCAAAGACGGTCGAACTAAGAGGTAAAATTGCTACTTTCTCTCAACTTGTGGCTAATCTTCTCTCTCTCCAATCTCTCCTAAAACTAACTAAAGACTTTTATTTATAGTGTTAGGGTTTGTGGGTCGAACATGGAAAAGTCTAATTCAACTAGAATTAGTGAAATTTGGATCAAGCTTTACACAGCCCATACAGGCCTGCTCTCCATCGCTGCAACGATAGAAATGGTCGCTGTGGAGATAATTCTTCCGGTCCAACGAATCCGAAATCTTCAGAATTTGATAAGGTCATCACACGAGAATTGTAGCTCTCTGAATAAATTTTCCAATGCCACAAGAATCATCCAATTCCAAGTTATACAACTCAAGTTATGATCAAAACACTGAAGCATGTTCATCTTTGAAGAAATTCCAGGATTCAAATCTTATCTTCAAAGATCTATATAACTTTTTCGTTTCAACTCCGATTTTTGATCCATTTGTTCCTAACCGTCACCAATTCAGGCGCCAACATTATGCTTCATTCGAATATCATTTATGACTTGAAAATGCTCAAAATACACCTATGATCCCATAAAATGTATTTATGAAATAATTAACTCAAATTTCATAATTTAAACTAATTTTCCCACAAATAATCTAAATAAATCACTAACTAAACACATTTTCTAAGCTCTTATCATAGCCCCAACCAGATTCTTGCTAATCCCTAGCCAACTAAGCAATAAAACATGTCTTTTAAGCTTGAAAATAAAACAAATAATTAAAACTTATATCTAAACTACCCTAAATCATTTTCATAGATTGACACGATTGCATTTAGCATATGTAACAAGTCTTTAAACCCCTAGGTGGCCCTAGTTGGATGATCTGTAGTCTCGTGAGGGTTTCCAACAATAATACCCACAAACTTCCCCACTAGACCTATCCTAGACTCCATAAATAAAAACAAAAATTACAAAAAATTCTTGGATCAATTCATAAAGTTGTCTCAAAAATCACATACACACATAACAAAATAGAATAATTAAAAATCCCCTAAACCCACAGAAAATGCAAACATCAATTCCATTTTCACTATCAACCCTAGAACATTCATACAACCTCAAACTATTAGTCTAAAAACCCAGATAATTTTACGCATAACATTCACGGACAAAATTTTGATCTCAGTATTCGGGTTATAACTCAAATATGAATTATAGAATCAAACTACATATGCTCATTTTTCAAATCGTTCTCCACTAATGTAGAAATTCACACTACCTTGAATCAATAGGTCTTTATAAAGGTTGTAATGTTAGGTTTGGGTATGGGTTTATGAAAGAAGGGAAAGGAAAAACAAACAAGAATTAAGAGACTTAAATCCTCCTTCTTTCTTGTCATTCCCACACACATCCTTTTTCTTCACAATTTCACACATTCGCAATGTTTTTCCATGCTTTTTTTTTTTTTTTTTTTTTCAATTACTTGGTGATTTTCTTTATTCAATTTTGTAACAATAATAAGAAAACATATTCAACTCCACCTCATCATTTTAACTCTCCACAACCCCCAACCTATTTCTTTTAATAATTTCAGGTTGTGACAAATTTTCACCACTTCCTACCCTCAATTGTCCACATTTTCTCACCAAACTTGTACTCGAATTAAGTCTTTTAAAATAAATGGATAAGGATGTGTTTCAGGCTCACAATCAAGGTATGTTTAAATAAGTTCAAAGAAAAAAAAACAAGGCTTAAATGTGTTTAAAAAGGCTCAAAGGTTAACTAGTGGTGATTTAATAAATGATTAGCTTGTAAGGCTCAATCGATCCAAAAACAGCCTAAATCATTTCATAAGTAATGTGAATCTTAGGATTTCCCCTCAAGTAGTTATCAAATAAGTTTTAGAGTTTGTTGAGATCGCAAAAATGTCCATGGAAAATTCACACATAATACTTCTCTCAGCATTTAGACTAACCAACTTTCATACCACATACCATTAGGGTCTCAAACTAGATGTAATTAACATTCACAATTATCCATAAATAAAGGAAAAATTTAATGTCCTCTACATGTTATTGCAATTACATTACTATCTTAGACATACAAATTAATCCAAGAACACAACCAAACTAAAAAAAAAAAAAAAAAAAAACTGTTCCCTAAAATCCATATGTCCATAGTTTTCCCAAATTGATGAAAAGGTTAATGCGAATTCCTACCCCCCACCTTAATATCAACATTGTCCTCAATGTTAAGAAAAGGAAAAAGGAAAGAAAATAATACATTACCCCTTTCATAGTGGTGTGAGATTGGTTCACTTGTTTCATGTCCGTGCGCGCCTAATTTGTTCAATCAAAATCACAAAACTAGAAAGACCTTATCGGCCACTATTGTTATATGCAAAGAGAAATAGAGAGTAAAAATAAACCATAAATATGATAAACTAGCACCAATGCAATACAAAGCAGAAAAAAATGTTCAACAAAACACACTCAGAATAGTAAAATAAACCCAATTCAGCAGTAAAATCAAACAATGTAAACAAAATCAACCAAAACAAATCAACGTAACAACTTTATTCTTCCAAAAGTAACACACTCTTTACCCTTCCATGCTATCCTCAGAATCTTCATTAGTAGCTTCAGCATCTTCCTTATTGGCCAAATAAACAAATTCATTCCAATCACACCTAAGCACCTCTATCCCAACATGAGCTAGTTGCAAATGTTGCATTTCATATTACACCTTCATTTGCACAGTCATCCAAGCCTCTTGTCGATCTTGTCTCTTGCTCAAATTTTCCATATCCGTACTCATCTTTGTCAATTGATCCTTCTTGGATGTAAAGGCTTTAGTACTTGATCCTTCCACTTTTCCTCCACTTGTGAGATTTTGCAAAAATTGCATTGTCAAACACTCCAGGTGGGATTAACATCTCCTCAGAATTTAATGGCACCCCAGCTTGCTTACACAATTTGGTTATCAAATGAGGGAAGTAGAAACTTGTTTTTAAACGCTTTGCCGAAATCTGTATCTCAGAAAAGATTATATTTCCCACATTCATCATCATCTTTTTGTGAATAGCAAATATTAAAACGGCTTGAGCTTTACTAACAGTACTCATATGTTTTGTTGGCATCAACCTAGAGCACACAAAGTACTGCTAAATGCGCGCAATTGAATCCAAGTACTTACTTTCAAACCGTATATGCTCTCCAGCAGTAATAAACCATGTTGCATTTGTTATAAACAGTCCATATACGTAGCGGAAAACAAAAATCATAATACAAGGATCGTTCCAAAGAGCCAAGATCAAAGGTATAATTTTATAGTTTATGTTAAAGTAGAAATCTGCAGAAAAATTAATCATGAGTTTAGAAAACATACGCACATTTGGAGGCTTCTCCAAATTTGTCTTTGAACGTTTTTGCTACCGACCCAAGTGTATGATCAAACCGACATAGTCCACACGAAGACAATCACAAAGAACTAAAGAGGGATTTGCTAGATCCTCTTTAGCTTTAAGATCAAAGAAGAAAAATCAAATAGATTGATTTTAGGCAAAAATGAATTATGCCGTGGGAGAGAATTTGGGGCTGCTGTGTTTTTGTTTTCAAAGAGAAAATGAACAGTGAATCAATTAATTTATTTTACAAATAACCTTTTTTCTTTTATATTGAAAACTTAGTTGCCTTATTCCCATATGGAATAGGCTTGAGCTTCAACCCAAACACCCCATGTTACCAAACACTCCCAATTAGATATTTATTTTTATTTCATCATTATCTCAATTAAAATCAATTAATATATATTTAATCTATATATTAACATTTAGCAATAATGATGATTTAATTAAATATATGCAAACACATATTTAAACGTAATTTCACTTATTTAATTTTTCTAATAAATTAAATAAAGGCTACGACCTCAGCAAATTTAATTGCACTGTGAAATTACCAAAATACCCTTTTACCTAAAAAGACGAAAACACCCTTCTTTCTTCTTGAGTCTTAACTTATCTTCTATGTGTGTGACACATAGGCTTCTCATCATACCGGTTATGTATAGTATGGCGATTAATACCAATTAATCGTCTCATTAATACACAGACCAAGATTGGCCCCAAGCAAGGCATCATGGCCACTTGATAGATTCAGATTCAGCAAAGTAGCTACCTGTCAATGATATGGTTACCGTATAATTCGATCCTTTCATCAACTGTTATCTCTACGAGACGAAGGCATAGAAATAGTGTCAACCTTCGGTTACTCTTGATATTGTGTATTTAGTTTCTGGACCAGTGACCTGTATTATAATCCGGATAGAGTAACAACTCAATCCCACTGTGGCCACAGTTTTAGGGTCATTGCCATATACTGAATTGCGCCGTGAAATAACTTCTCCCGTACCCGAGAGTAATGAATCCTCTATCTATCCACCATAGTCTTGATACACTCCTTGATGCAGCCAATCACCACTGTATTGACAGCTCTGAATAGAACTGCGTTAGGCTAGTGTCAAACTACACCAATCGGTGTACAAGGCGCTCCGATGATCTCAAGTCTAAGGATCACATGCACCACCATTTGTTAAAGGATTTGTTCCATAGACACTAGGGTTACCATCTATATGGAATCCTCTGGTGGGTCATTCCAGTGAACTTGTTGCGACATATCCACCTACAACAAGCACCTATGTGTTGCACCAGGTTGTCACCAAACAACCTTGATAAGTGAGATCAGTCACTGCCTTTCGACAAGGTCGTTCAACACTATGATAGCCTTACCTTATTATCTGTGCCCTTACTTCATAATAATATTGGGGCTACGAACGTTTCTAGAATGGCCACCATATGTGCTCATAGGGTTCTCACTATGAAGATTTGAAACACTTGATACCCTCGTCATGGTTTTACCATTCTAAGAACATATATCAATACATATTGCAATAATAATGATTTACGCGATATAGAATAAAATGTTTTTTATTGATTAATGAACATTATTACAAAGAGTCAATTTTACAATAATTGATTGGCTCTAGGGCATCTACTCTAACAGCATTCCCATCAGTCAGGACTTTTATCATTACATCATAATTCACTGCCTACTTGTAAGCCACATACGCATCCTCATTCTCTCCGATATCCGACAGCCCATAAAACTCATTGATAGTGGTTGCATTAAATACAATTTCCTTGCCTCTCACCATTGTTCTTCCATTAACGCTGTCAAATCCTACTATTGAGGGATATGCTTCTAGCATTAGGAGATCACTGGTGCAAGCAAATAATTTTGAAATCAAGCCTGCCATAATTCAGATGATACAACATTTGGTGTAATTTGGAGGATTGTCAAGTGATGACCCAAATTTGCATATTGCAAATTTCCTAGAGCTTTGCAACACTTTCAAGCACAATGGGTATCAGATGACGCTATTAGACTAAAGCTATTTCCCTTTTCTCTTAGGGACAAAGCAAAGGCTTGGTTACTATCACAACCTACTGGGGCTATTACCACTTGGGATGAATTGGTTCAAGCTTTCCTTGCTAAATATTTCCCACCAATTAAGTCTACAAAGATACGAAGTGACATAACTAATTTTGTTGATCTTGTTATGGCAGTGACTCTGAATCTTGTTGGACAAAATTAATTATGTCACTTCGCATCTTTGTAGACTGTATTGGTGAGAAATATTTAGCAAAGAAAGCTTGAACCAATTCATCCCAAGTGGTAATAGCCCCAACAGGTTGTGATAGTAACCAAATCTTTGCTTTGTCCCTAAGAGAAAAGGGAAATAACCTTAGTTTAATAACGCCATCTAATACCCCATTGTGTTTGAAAGTGTCGCAAAGCTCTAGGAAATTTGCAATATGCAAATTTGGGTCATCACTTGACAATCCTCCAAATTGCATCGAATGTTGTATCATCTGAATTATGGCAGGCTTGATTTCAAAATTATTTGCTTGCACCGATGATCTCCTAATGCTAGAAGCATATCCCTCAATAGTAGGATTTGAAAGCGTTGATGGAAGAACAATAGTGAGAGGCAAGGAAGTTGTATTGAATGAAGCCACTATCAACAAGTATTACGGGTTGCCAAATATTGGAGAGAATAAAGATGCGTATGTGGCTTACAAGCAGGCGGTGAATTATGATGCAATGATAAAAGTCCTAACTTATGGGAATGCGAGATGATTTATTGTTGCTGGTGAGCATATACATTATACGGTTTGAAAGTAAGTACTTGGATTCAATTTCACGCATTTGGCAGTACTTTGTGTGCTCCAGGTTGATGCCAACCAAACATATGAGTATTGTTAGTAAAACTCGGGATGTTTTGATGTTTACTATTCACAACAAGATGATGATGAATGTGGGAAATATAATCTTTTACAAGATACAAATTTCAACGAAGCATCTAAAAACAGGTTTCTACTTCCTCATCTGATAACTGCATTGTGTAAGCAAGTTGGGGTGCCATTAAATTATGAGGAGATGTTAATCCCACCTAGAGTGTGTTTGACAATGCAATTTCTGCAACATCTCACAAGTGCGGGAAAAGTGGAAGGATCAAGTACTAAAACCTCTACATCTAAGAAGACGTCCAAGAAAGATCAATTGACAAAGATGAGTGAGGATATGAAAAAACTGAGCAAGAGAGAAGATCAACAAGAGGCTTGGATGACTATGCAAACTCCAAGAATTCTAATCTCCAATGAGTGGCTGATCTTCTCTCTTTCCAGTCCGAAATCTCCAAGAATTCTCACGTTGATCCTAAAACTAAGTAAAGACCTTTATTTATAGTGCCAGGATTTGTGGGTCGAATAGGGAAAAGTCTAATTCAACTAGAATTAGTGAAATTCGGACGAGGCTTTACACAGCCCATACAGGTCCGCTCTCCATCGCTACAACGTTAGAAATGGTCATTGCAATGATCGTTCTTCCCATCCAACAAGTCTGAAATATTCAAAATTTGACAAATTCATCAATGAGAATTGTAAATCTCTGAATAAACTATCCAACACCACAAGAATCATCCAATTCTGAGTTCTAAAGCTCAAGTTATGATCAAAACACTGAAGCATGTCATCCTTAAAGAAATTCCAAGATTCGAATCTCATCTTCAAAAATCCATAACTTTCTCGTTTCAACTTCGATTCTTGATCCGTTTGTTCCTAGCCATCACCATTTCAGTCGTCAACATTATGCTTCATTCGAATATCATTTATGGCTTGAAAATACTCAAAATACACATGTGATCCCATAAAAGGTATTTATGAAATAATTAACTCACATTTCACAATTTAAACTAATTTCCCACAAATAATCTAAAAAAATCACTAACTAAACACGTATTTTCAAGCTTTTATCAACTAGATGCAAGAGGTTTATGTGCCTATGCTAACAGAAGAATGCATAAAAAGAGAAGTTTATGTTAAGCACTTCCAAGCCTTTTAAAAATTTTAGAGAAACTATTTTGTAGATGCAACCTTACTCAGGAATTTTGAACAAGGTCACAGGCAATAAGACCCCAAACTAATACTCAAAGGCAAAAAGATTAAGCTCACCTCATTTTGCGGAGAACATTGGACATCTCCTCTCTCTTCTTCTTCACTCTCTTGTGGGTGCCCAACTTTCTCTTAGCCACCTTAAGTGCACGCTTATCTTTTCCTACCTTCAGAAGCTCAGTGATCCTCTTCTCATAGGGAGCAAAACCCGCAACTTCCCTTATGACATTCCTCGCAAAATGTACCCTCTTGCTTGTTTTCTTCATATAAAAACCAATAATCAAAATTGAAAACCAAATTAGCACCCCAAAAAAACATCAGCCATTACATTTCACTTTCATCAACTAACATTCTGTATTCACATTATTACACTATTCACTTGCTACTAAATCACAAAATGCACTCTCTTGCTCACAAAATTACAATATTCACTTGCCCTTATGACATTCCTCACAAAATGCACCTCTTGCTCGTATTCTTCATATAAAAACAAACAATCAAATTTAATAACCAAATTAGCAACCCAAAAACCATCAGCAACCACATTTCAGGTTCACTAACAACATTAAGTATTCACATTACTACACTACTCACTTGCAACTAAATCATTACACAGCTTAAATATCAAGCTAAGAAATTCAGCAACCTATAACACAAACTTATGGAAAAAATGCTTTTGCATAATAAATTCATTTGGGAATAAATTATTGCACAGATGCTTCGAAGTTCATCCTACCCCTTTACGATGAGAAGGACGAGGAGGCAATTCATGCTTGGTAACATTGTGGACTTTGTTTAATCCAACAAACAGCCCACTTTTGTGTTGCGAAGTTGTTGGATTATTTAGTTTTTGTATATAGTTGTATTGTTACTGCTTCTGTTAAAGTAGTTAAAGTGTAATTAGTTGGTTTGTTAGAGTAGTTAGTTAGTTGACTGAATTAGTTAGTTTGTTAGAGTAATTAGTTAGTTGACTGAACTATAGTTAACTGAATGTAATAAATTGGTGTACAGTACTTGATTTTTTCACTTGAGCTAAATAAGAAACTTTACTCTTCTTCTTTGAAACCTCCTCTCTGATCAAAATAGAACATGGTATCAGAGCAGTTCATCAAGCTACGAAATCACCATCTCTTTTCAAGAATTTACTAATGTTGAAAGCATTGTGTTAAAACCCGGACCCAATGGCAACCCTTTCTGCTGCCCGGGTCACGGTTCAACTGGTCCAATCGATTGGACTGCCAGTTGGACCGATGATGTCAACACATTTAAAAAAACCTTTTTTTTTTTTTTTTTTTTAAGATTTCCATTTTTTAATAAGACAGTAACAACTTAACTACTGTCCAACATGATTCAAAGTTCAAATTTAGTGACAATCCCATCATAATTTAAGTATTTAACAACAATCCAAAGTCCAAAGTCCAAATCCAAACATGATGTTGTATTCATCCATTACATATTAAATGACAAAATACATAATAATTAATAATAAAACATTTGGTGCAAGTGTTTTTTCTTTGATCCGTCTCCATGTTGATTGAGCTTCACACACTAGCATCAAAATTCATCACCATCATCTACGTAAATTTCAGTAAAAAATAGAAATCATAAGTTAAAACTTGTAATTTAATTTAAATAGATACTAAGTTGCTTAAATATTTGAAACCAACCTTCTGAACCATCGGTTTAATCATAAAAAGAAGGGTGATCAGCAACTCCAGCAGGAATAGATCCTTCTCCATATAACATTTGTTCCAACTCCTCATAATTAAGTTCACTGACCTCCTCTTCATCGTCAACTATCTAACCTTCAGTTTTGTTGATACTTTCATAATCAATAGGATCAAAACTTATTCTCTTGTAACACCTCCTAAAATACCATAATGAAATATTAAAAGCATGACAAGTAAAATATCAAGGAAAATAATAGATAATAACAATAAGAGTGATGCATAATTGAGTAATTGACAATGTTTTATACTTGTTTTGCAAACGCAAGTTATAATGAACAAAAACAAGATCATTCAACCTTTGATGCTCCAATCTATTCCTCTTTTTAGTATGTATGCGCTCAAAAACACTCCAATTTCATTCACATGCCGAAAAGCTTGAAGTTTGGCTAAGAATTTTTATTGCAAATTTGGAGTACTATATCCAAATGATCTCCACCATTCATCTAATCGAAAATTAAACATAATAAATAAATTAGACTTAAAAAACAAAAGAACTCATAAATTTTATAACTACTACGTACCAGGACGTGTGGTTTTGGCGGTTTCAAGAGCAAGCCCACGAGAAAAGCTTTCCTCCCAGCTTGAATATTATCTACTCTCTTCCATTAACCTTGTCTTGTTCAAATTGAACACACTTGCTTTACTATCAATAATATCAAGGAAACCACTCATGACTTCTGGCTTGACACAAAATGATGCTTCGTCATATTTAAAGGTAGGATTCAAATAGTAAGCCACATCATGGATATCACGATGCAACATCCTATCTCAGCGTAGCTTAATGATTCATGTATAAGGCTTGTACAATCTCTTTTTATTCTTAAACAACTTCTTAATTGTATTTTTCGTTCTGTACATGCCATCATACACATATCCTATTGTTGGCTTCTCATCTGAGTCAACAATCCGCAACAAGCGCATCAATGGACTCACAACTTTGGATATCTTACCCATATCATCCCCAAAATCGTTATCTAGAATTATGTCAATAACATGTTTGTCTTTATTACTTTTTGCATATCGAGAATCAACAAATGATCTATCTGTCACCATGGCTTGCAAGTCATGTTTGTGCTCATGAAGGCTTCTCATTGTAATGAAAGTTGTAGCAAAACGGGTTGCGTCCGGACGAACAATTTCTTTCCAACCCTGTTCAATTGATAAATAATAGATGTTAGTCAATTATAAAAAATGCATATTATGTTATGACTTGACAAAAACATGAACTAAAGGTATATTACCTGTCTTTTCCTCAACCAAGCTATCAAGAATGTATGATTATATATAAATTTCGTCACCTCAGAAGCATGTCTCGCAAGATAAACTATGTGATCCATCTCAGCTATGTCTTTTAACACCAAATTTATGCTTTGTGCAGCCCAGGGTGACCAAGTAATACTCGGATATTTCTCAGACAACATTCTTCCAACAACTTTATAATTGGATCCATTGTCTGAGACAAAATGGACAATACTATTTGGCCCAATCCATAAATCTACCTCCTCAAACATCTTCAACAATGCCCCAGCATCCTTCACAACATCTGAAGCATCAATTGATTTCACAAAACAAACTCCCTTAGGAAAATACACCATAAAATTGATCGATGACCTATGTGAATTATCAATCCAACCATCAATCATTAAGGTACATCCAACATTTTCCCAAATCTTTCTGTAACTATCAACAAGAAGTTGCACTTCCTTCTTAGCATCTCTTAACAAATTGACACGTAAACCATGATAATTTGGGTGTTTATACTCAGGCCCAATTGCAGATATAGCATCCACCAAAGGTTGAAGATAAATTGAATTTACAGCATTAATTGAGATGCAAGCATCATAAAAGAATCTTGTAAAAGTCATGTCTGCTCTCCACGTCGCATCTTTTCCAGCTAAACAACTCCTAATTGATGGTTGAGATCGACCAATTGTCCTTGAAGCAAAATAGTCACCAACCCCAATAGATTTTTTATCTTTTTGATTTGTCTAGCATTGTACTTTGTTTTTTACTGCCAAACCTGCCTTCATTTATGTGAATTTCTTATGGACGAAACTCTTCACTATCTTCATTTAACATATCTCTCTCAAATCCATGTACGGGAGCACCGTAGGGAGTATTATACTTACTAGAATCAGCCTTCTCTTTATTCTTTATCCCAATGTCTTTTAGTGATTCTCTCATCAAGTATTCAACATCAAAGGAAACTTTTAAACAAGCACCAACATCCCCCTTTATTCCAGCTAGATGTTGTTTCATTCTAAAAATACCTCTTCCTCTAGTTACTTTCCCACAGTGAAGACATTTTAATGTCTTCCTTCCATTTGGATCTACACCCTCAATAACATGTGCCCATGTTATATCAGTCGTACCTCTACTAGATTGTGAAGAAGACCCAGAGCCAGATGTTGTCATTGTCTATTTTTAATCTTTATCTACCTATCACACAAGAAATAACAACAATTATCACTCAACCAATTGCAAGTTCACCGCTGTGTAATCTCAAGATGAATCATTGTTTTGTTTTTTGTTAAATCTTACAGCAACTAAGTGTCTTTTTTGAAGGTTTCGTAACTTATGCCTCCTTTAGTTCATTTATGATAATAGCCCTAACTTCAATTTTTAAATTCCATCAATAATAAGTAAATTGAAACGTAACAGTACACAAACTACCAATTATTTGAGATTGGCTAATGTATGAACTAAACAGGACCGGAAATAAGCCAAAAAATTCTTTCACATGCATAGATACAGAATGGTCCAAATGAAAAAGGGTAAAAGTAAGAAAACTATTATTTTCAGTAATAAAACGGTAGTATTAAGAATAATCATTGGAATATCATAATTCAAAAGGCTAAAGTAAATAAAAATTAAGTAGTCAACAAGTTAACATATGGTTAATATTCAAAAATGATTGGCCTCAATGACTTGGCTAAATTCATATTTATGTATCAAATTAAAGACTAAAATCAAGCTATTAAAAAATTTTGCAGACTCAAATATTTTCTCTTTCACTCACCAAATTGCAGCCATACGCTTACAAATTGCTCCTTTATAAACCATGTCTCTCAAAACTTTGACAAAATATAGAAATATTTTTCTTAGTTTCAAAAATGGTCAAAAACTTCATCAACCTAATAAAGTCTTCGATAATGGGAGTATATCGCTGCAATACGAGTGGAACACACTCTCTTTATCATTAACAGGCTGGATGAATTGCAACATAAATCACAGAAGACTTTTCACTATTAAAATTGTTATATAAGTGTGACATATCAAAGAGTTGGAAATTTCATATTGAGATCAATCATTCATCTGAAAAATGAATACCGAGTCCCCACAACTCAACACTCCACTAACCACCAAAGACCGAAAAGATTCAATGCACAACTGGCACAATAATATATTATGATAAATGCATTAATAAAACAAGTTAAAAAACGAAATGGAGCTGTCGTGAATGGTGTGTTTTTTACCTAGATCGTTGACGAGAGGATGAATGGAGTTGTCGTCATCGTCGTCCAGGAATAGAGCTGTTGTTGTCGTCGTCGATTTCCAGCAAGGAATGGAGTTGTCATTGTTGATTTTCGACGAGGGAGGAAGGCGTCGTTGCGATTTCAGGGACTTGAGTTGTGATTGATTTCAGCAACGAATGGTTGCGATTTCATTGAGATTGAGTTTTGATTTGTGTGGGATTTCAGATTTTCATGATTTCATTAAAAAAATTTCAGAGTATTTTGCGCGTAGAGAAAGGAGAAATTGCGAAATGAGAGAAAGTGAGAAATTAAGGATTTTTTCCCCTTTTCAGCGTTGGACCGGTTTTTCTAATCCGGCAGTTTGCATTGTTCACGCGATCCATTGACGAGTTAAAGCGAGTTATTGCACAATTCCATGTTTTATAGTGACTCGAACTGGACACGTGATCAGTTCCCGGTCCAACCGATTGGACCGGCCGGTCCGATCCAGCTTTTAAAACAATGGTTGAAAGGAGAGATCGTATAGTTGAGGATTTGTTTTTAATTCAACAATTGCTTAAGTTAGGTTAGTCTTCTACAAATCAATCGAAGATTCGACGATTGCTCAATACAAGTAAGTTCTGTTGGACCGGCCGGTCCGATCCAGCTTTTAAAACAATGGTTGAAAGGAGAGATCGTATAGTTGAGGATTTGTTTTTAATTCAACAATTGCTTAAGTTAGGTTAGTCTTCTACAAATCAATCGAAGATTCGACGATTGCTCAATACAAGTAAGTTCTCTATAAATTGTTTAAAGAAGTGATTTAGAGCAAGCGAAATGGCGATAGATTCAAGCTCGCCTCTTTACATCCATCCTTCTAACACTTCTGGTTCAGTTTAGATCTTTGAACAACTCATTAGAATGAGAACTACGGAATATGGACTAGAGCTATGATTGTGTCTTTAAGAGCGAAGAATAAGCTAGGATTTGTGGATGGTTCTTGTGAGAAATCAAGCTTCAATCAATCGTTACATGCACAATGGGAGAGATGTAACTCCTTAGTGTTAGCATGGATTTTTAACACAGTCTCGAAGGTTATATTCAATAGTATCATGTATTCAAGTAGTGCACATCAAGTGTGGCAGGATCTGAAGGAACAGTATAACAAAGTTAATGGTACAAGAGTCTTTGGAATTCACAGAGAAATTATGAATTTGGTGCAAGGAACCAATTCAGTTGCAGTGTATTACAACAAACTCAAAACCTTATGGGATGAATTAAGCTTGTTAGTTAGTCTGTCAGCACTAGACAGTGAATCAGCTAAATCTTATTTAGCACATTTTAATTAGCAGAAGCTACTGCAGTTCTTGATTAGGCTAAATGACTCATACAGTTTAGTAAGAAGTCAAATTTTGTTGATGGCTCCTCTACCCTCGGTGAAACAGGCATACTCAATTGTTAGTCAAGATGAGAGTCAAAAGATCCTCACTGGTTTCAATCATAGCACAGAAGTTACTATTGCATTATACTCGCTAGGAAACTAGAAGAATCAAACTTAGAACACAAAATATAAGGGGGAAAAAACCTTATATTGAGTGTGATTATTGTCATGCTCCAGGACACAAGAAGGAAAATTGCTATAAGCTAAACAGATATCCAGCAGATTTTCAATTCACCAAATGAAAATTGGGGACGAAGGCTAAGGCTAATCAAGCCCAATCTAACTAGGAATCTGTTCCACGGACTCAAACCGTGAATCCAGAATCTGGAGCTAATCTTGGAAATGTGTTGACACTAGAACAATATGCACAATTGTTACAATTGTTGGGCAAAGAGAACATCTTGACACCATCTACAAACTTAGCAGGTAAAACCATCTCTTTATACTCTAGTTTTAATAATGAGGATTGGATATTAGATTCAGGGGCCACAGATCACATGACCCATAATTTTCAAAGTCTTGAATTTACTCTTGCTAGCCAATCACCCATAGTAAACTATGTAGGACATTCTAATGGCACAAAAACCCCCATTAAACATGTTGGTTCAGTGAAATTGCAGGAAAACTTGTGTCTTGATAAAGTTTTGTTCTTACCAAATTTTAAATAAAATCCACTGTCAGTGTCTAAATTGACTTCATCAGGTAGATGTTCTGTTACATTTTATCTTGATTTTTGTGTTATTCAAGATCTGTGGAGTGGCAAACTAAAGGGGATGGGTAAGCAATGCCAAGGGTTATACCATTTTGTTCCTAGTTCACAAATAAAATTGTATAGTTCTGTTTTAGGAATAAAGGAAGTTGCTTGTAAGCAATCTTCTGATTTAGGGCTTGAAACAATTGTTAGTAAACAATCAAATGTACCTATTGCTTCTTTAATAAAGAACCCCTATTTGTCATCAGCTTTATCTACTGTCTTGCATATTAAAGATATTGTCCTTTGGCACAAAAGATTAGGACATGCACCACTTTCAGTTCTCAAAAGGATATATAATACTTTACCTTAACAACATGATTTCCACCGTGATGTTTGCCCCTTAGCTAAACAAACTAGGCTGCCCTTTGCATCAAGTGATACAAGTTCCTTACATGTTTTTCAGTTATTGCATTTAGCCAAACACCTAAATGTATAAGGACTGACAATGGGTTAGAATTCTTTAATCATCAATGTCAAGAGTTGTCGGCTAGTTTAGGAATTATACACCAAAGTACATGCGTATACACTCCACAACATAATGGAGTGGTAGAGATAAAGCATAGACAAATACTAAACATAGCTAGAGCTTTTAAATTTCAGTCTAGTATCCCAAGTTATTTGTGGGGTTATGTTGTCAAGGCTGCCGTGTACATCATTAATAGGTTACCTACAAAAGTCTTAGATGGTTTGTCACCATATGAAAATTTTTATGGAACTGCACCTAAATTGAATCATTTAAGGGTCTTTGGCTGCTTGGCATGTGCTACCAATTTGATTCTTCATGATAAGTTTGCTCCAAGATCCATACCTTGTGTTTTCCTTGGTTATTTTCCCCCAAAAAAAGGCTATATCTTATATGATTTACACACTAAATCCATATGCATTAATAGAGATGTAGTCTTCCATGAGCACATCTTTCCTTTCACTTGGCATCCTTCTAACAAACCTATTTTCTTGGATTCCTTTATGGCACAAGATTTTGATAATTCTCATCCTATTTTAAATACCTATCCTGATAATGCAAGTATCCTGCAAGACACAGAACCAACAAAGTTTTTGTCATCATCCCATCCTGATGTATTACCTTCACATAATGATTCTGTCACTAATTCATCTGCTCGACTTAGAAGATCTAGTAGGACAACTAGACCACCTATTTGAACCACATATTTTGTTTGTCCAACTTTACCTCAATCCAATTTGATAGTTGCCACTCCATATCCTATACTAATGCCTATCTAGTATTTCAGCTCTTACAAAACCTACTTCCTTCACTGAAGCATCCAAATATTCCCAATGGATTGCTGCAATGCAACAGGAAATTCAGGCCTTGGAAAGAAATGGGACTTGGTCCTTAGTTCCCCTGCCTCCTGGAAAAGTACCAATCGGTTGTAAATTGGTATATAAATTGAAGTATAAGGCAGATGACACTCTAGAAAGGTATAAGCCAAGACTAGTTGCCAAGGGCTTTACACAACAAGCTAGGATTGACTATGAGGAGACTTTTTCTCTTGTGGTTAAGATTGTTACTGTTAGGCTTGTGTTGGCTATTGCTTCCATGAAAAATTGGCCACTTTATCACATGGATGTTGACAATGCATTTCTTCAAGGAGATCTACAAGAGGAAATATACATGCACCTACCTCAAGGATTTCCTAAACAACATGATAACTCTTTGGTTTGTAGGCTACACAAGTCTTTGTATGTCTTGAAGCAAGCCTCTACAGCTTGGAATACCAAGCTCACTACTACCTTAATGAAATGAGGATTTCAACAATCACCATCAGATTATTCCTTCTTCTTTAAGAAGGTTACTGGTCATATTGTCATTTTACTCATTTATGTTGATGATTTAGTCCTTACTGGTAGTGATTCTTCACTTATCCAAGCTACTAAAGATCTACTGCATTCCCATTTTAAGTTGAAAGATTTGGGTGCTCTTAGATATTTTTTAGGATTTGAGGTTGCAAGATCTTCCAAGGGGATTAGCTTATGTCAAAGGAAATATGCTTTGGAGTTAATTGCTGAGTCAAGACTGGCTGCTGCCAAACCTTCTTTGGCTCCACTTGATCCAAATCTCAAATTCACTACTGCAACATATGATGAGCAATTTCCTGGTCTACAGGGTTCTGTCTTGCCAAATCCATCAATATACCAAAAGCTCATTGGTAAGTTGCTTTATTTATGTTTGACCAGACTTGGCCTTAGTTTTACAGTGAATCTTCTCAGTTAGTTTATGCATTAGCCTAAGGAGTCTCATCTTTAGGCTGCTCTAAAGGTTGTAAAGTATGTCAAACAGTCTCTTGGTTTGGGCTTATTCTTTCCTGCTTATGGTATACTTCAGTTACAAGCCTTTTGTGATTCGGATTGGGCTTCCTGCCTTATGACTTGTAAATCTATTACTGGATTCTGTATTTTTTTTGGAAGTTCCTCATTGTCATGGAAATCAAAAAGGCAGGCTACTGTTTCTCGGTCCTCTTCTGAAGCAGAATATCGAGCTATGGCCACCGCTGTTTGTGAAATTATTTGGTTGACACAGCTCTTGAATGACCTAGCTCTTCCACTTCAACTACCAATTACACTCTGCTATGATAATAAATCTGCCATTCATATTGCTTCCAATCCGATATTTCATGAGCGTACGAAGCATATTAATATTGACTACCACATTGTGCGTACCAAGATTAAAGAAGGGTTGATTGTTCCTACTCATGTTTCTACTCATGAACAACCTGCGAATATGTTTACTAAGGCTTTTTCTAGCCCTATTGATCGACATTTACTATCCAAGTTAGGAACATTCATCACCCACCAACTTGAGGGGGGTGTTGGATTATTCAGTTTTTGTATATAGTTGTATTGTTACTATTGCTGTTGAAGTAGTTAAAGTGTAATTAGTTAGTTAGTTGACTGAATTAGTTAGTTTGTTAGAGTAATTAGTTAGTTGACTGAACTATAGTTAACCAATTAACTATAGTTAACTGAATGGAATAAATTTTGTATAGTACTCGATTTTTCACTTGAGCTGAATAAGAAACTTTACTCTTCTTCTTTAAAACCTCCTCTCTGATCAAAATAGAACAGAAGGAGCCATCACCTTCGCAGAACATCATATTCTTCACCACACTATTGACATGCAACAATTATTCACTGATCACTATCACTCTCTACTATAGGAACCTTTGCAGAAAAATCATGTTTAGGGGCTAGGAAGCTTTTGAAAGTGAAAAGTAAAGCGGGAAAATTAATGTAAAATTAGATTTGAAAGTACCTTAGGCGTAAATTTCTGCAGCTGACTGAGCGGCCAGCCATCGAGGAATGAAGGGGTAATGTTTCAATGCGTACAAACCCTTGCTTTGCGTTTTTACTTTTTATGAGTGTTTTTTAACATCATCTATAAGTTGAGAGGCAACAAGGCATGAATATTCTAACGAATGGGCCATGATATTATTGGGTCTTTACTCTTTAGAGAAGCCCGATAGACTAGATTATCTAAAGAGTAAAACCACAGGTCATGTTGGGCTTTTTAGTCAGAGAAAATTGAGATTAGACTTAGGGTCCATTTGTTTAATTATTTTTCCCTATCCTATTGATACTATTTCCAAAATACACGTTTGTTTCCCTATTCTGAAAATACTATTATATTTTATTCAACTATTGTAAACCCCCTAAGTTTATTAATTTAACTAAACAGCCTTTGAAAAAAGTTTAGAAATTGACAAAAACACCCCCACCCACCCACATTTGCCAGATTTCGGCCACCACCGTTCAAAGATGGCCGGAATCTGGTATAATGGCGCACTACCGGCTGGATCTGGCCGGTAGTGCGCTGATGTATCATTTACCGACCAGACCCACTGTAGATCTAGCCGGAAAAGGCCAGATGTATGGCCATGGATTGTCAAATCTTTGCCTGTAGCTAGTCTTCAACGACGGCCAAGACATAGTCGTTGTTGACCATCAACGACAGCCATATCTTTGGCCATCGTTGACGACCAAACATGACCAGATCTGACCATAGATCTGGCCTTTTCCAGCTAGATCCACCATGGATCTGGCTGGAAAATGCCATCTCGACACACGACCGGCCAGATCTAGTCGATCATGAGCCGTAATGTCAGATCCTAGTAGTGGTGGCCAGAATCTGGCAACTGTGTGTGGTGGAGGTGTTTTTGTCATTTTACCAAAAAAATTATATATTGGGGTGTTAAGTTAAATTAGCAAACTTATAGGGTTTTTTTGTTAATTTTTAAATTCTACCTCGTAATAATCACCCAACTCTACCTATCAATAATATTTCAAAAATACTACTCAAAATAATAAAACAAATACACCCGGATTTTCACAAGTTTGAAATCAAATTTTGATTCAATATTTCAATTTGATATCGGAATAAACCAAAAAAGTATTTAAATAAAGACAGCATTTTCAAAAAGTTTGCGAACAACGATCTTTAAAGGGCTTGAGTCATATTTTATTTCAAAGAATTACGAGGACCTTCTCAATTATATCAAATTAATTATATTCCAATACCCTCTTTAATTTAGGATGGATTAAATTGAATTTTAAACAACTATCACATAAAATATGTGAAATCTAAGTGAAAGCAAAGAAAGGGTGTGCCATACATTAGCTTTTTACAGTCAATTTATAACCCAAAGCTCATGGTTTTTGTGGATTTTGGAAGAGATGAGATTAAATAGCACTAACCACCACTGAATGGTCTGATGGTAAAAGAGTAAAATGAGGTTATATGAGTTTTTGAGTTTAAGTCTCTCCAAGTATTAATAGGAGTGGTCACTGGGACTTTTACCCGAACGACAATTCCTAGGCTCAAATAATTAGTTGAGGTGCACGCCAACAGTTCTAAGACAAAAAATGATTAGTTGAAATGCGTATAAACTGGTTCAAACACTCTAAAAAAAAAAAAAAAAAAAATCTCAAATTGCGCTCTTGTCAGGTGATCACAACATCATTATTATGTGCTTCACAAGCCTGTGAATTACTGAACTTATACGTTTCTAAAACTCTTGGGATACAGTTATACTCTTATTGGTAGACCCAAAAATTGTTTAATGACATCTACTGCAAATCTTTTTGACAAAAGTGTAAAGCCAACATGAATTGCTAAAATTCATGAAAAAAGAAAAATAAAATTGCTGGGAGCACTAGTAAAACTCCACTTCTGTAAGTCACTACAAAACACAAAGCATGGATTGATTGTGTTGTCTACATGTACTTGAGACAACAGCTCACTATTCAAGATAAGTTCCCAGAATCTCCTGAACAAAAATATCATCAATATTATCTTCAAAAATAAAGAAATTGGGGACGTCAAGCACATTATCTGATGGTGTAAATATTTTCCTACCACAAATATTTATACAAATAATGTCAAACTGTTCCATCGTCCCATGCCTCTTGTCAGGATGAGACCATAACATTCTCTTATCAAAACTGTGTGCATTCAGACTGTGTGTTTTTATCTGCTTTCACTTTAGAGCTGTAATTAATTGACCAAAGAAGGAAATGGGAAAAGAAGAGAATTGAGTTGATGGCTTTGAGTGGTAACAAATGTGGTGAAAATCTAAGGAATCGGAGTTGTTGTCCCACAAAGAGGGGGAAAAGGGTTTATTTTTCTTTATTCATTTTTTTTGCAGTGAACGAGGAAGAAAAAGTTGGTAATCAAGTTCCTAAGACCGAAAGTTTACGTGAATTTAGAAATATCAAATTACTTGTAAAGAATCTAAATTGGACGAAAGAATTTGATTATTATTACCCGAAATCTCGGTGGGCGGGACCAGACTCCGAGACAACTTTAATACACACTTAAATAGATGGCCTTTAGCATTAAAAAGAATCAGTCTTTGACTCATTGCCACCACTTATAAGCCGCCACTGTAGTTGGTGGCGCGTGATATGGTCTCTGGGCTGTTCACATTTACTGATTTCAGATAGAGGTGGAAGACAAGCGATGGGTCAGAGAATGAGTTGCAGAAAAGGCCATGAACATGCATTGTTCAGTGCTTTGGAGGATGGGGACCTGCAGTTGATTGAGGCTATGGTGGAGACTGACTCAACTGTTTTGCAGATCACCAATGGTTATGGGAGACAATCTGCACTGCATTTGGCAGCTGCTTATGGGCAGATCGAGGTGGGTTTGGTTTATATTCGATGGATTTTGATTGGTATTTTCTTTGGTTTCTTTCTGTTTTTTATTAAGAAAATATTGATGGGATTTTGTGGATTTTGATCAAGGATAGGTTCTTTCTATGCTCTTGGATCGGTTCTTTTTATATACCAATCCAGATGTCTTAAATCGCTATAAACAGGCAATATTTCTTGTTTCCTTAAGTTTTTATCAAATCTTCAATTTGCATTCTGTCTGGTAATGCTTTCAAGTCTCTCTCATTGTATCTTTCGTCTGTGCTTTGAATATTTATATTGGTGATTGATTTATTTAGACCCCATTAATGGTGGCTGCAATGCATGGGAAAGCATCTTGTGTGAAGAAGCTCATTGAAAGTGGAGCATTTGTAAGCTTTCTTGTTAATCAGTTGTGTATATTATTTCGCTTCACCGTTTAGTACTCTTTAGTTCATAACTGGTTATGTTTATAATTTTATTAGATTCTGAAATTTGATTCTCTTCACGGAAGAACTTGCTTACACTATGCTGCATACTATGGGCATTCAGATTGCCTGCAAGCCATTCTTACTGCAGGCCGAACCAGTCCAATAGCCAATTCTTGGTCTCTCTCTCTTACTTTTCATCTGTGTGAGTTTGCATTTCGATGTGATCATTTCATGATAGAATTGGATGGCATTGGCAGGGGATTTGCAAGATTTGTAAACATAAGAGACGAAAGCGGCACAACCCCACTTCATTTGGCAGCACGCCATGGGTGGTCAGCATGTGTTCATAACCTCTTAGACAATGGGGCTCTTGTTTGTGCTTCAACTGGTGGAAATGGGTAATTTTACTTATCATTCTTGACATCTAGTTTATTTTGTTTAGTGACTGGTTCATTAAAATGGATTAGAGTTATATATATACAGCTACCCAGGGAGTACACCTCTTCATTTCGCTGCTCAGGGTGGTTCTTTGGAGTGTATACGGGAATTGCTAGCTTGGGGTGCGGATAGGCTTCAGCCAGATGCATTAGGGTGAGTCTCATGATCATCAGCAAGAAATAAAAAGCCCCCTTTTGGTTTTACAACCAGATATGACTTTTTTAAATAATTTAAGATTGGCCAAAGTGAAATACCTTTGCCATGCTAGTTTTGTATCTTGATTCTTGAGAAAGTTTGCACATCTATTTTTTCTGAAAGATCATTTTGAAAGAGCTGAATTGAGGAACTAAAAATCGAATGCAAAATTACATGGCCACTTATATATAATATACAAGAACTTATTCTAGAGTACTTCAACCATTGTATACATGAAGAACATAGACATAAATTTGATTAATACTTGCAAATTCTCATCAAAGCTGATCTTTGCCTGATTTTAGTCTTTTTTAGAACTAAACAGGGCCTATGTAAATCTTTACCTTAATGGTCTTTATTATTAATTTCTAAAATTTTCAGTGCTTTTCTTAGTGTGATGATATCATTTTAAAAACCCCTTGAAAGTCTTCCATTGATTTGAAAAAATAAATAAATAAACAAATAATAATAGTAATAATGGATTTTGCAGGAGAATACCATATGTAATTGCATTGAAGTACAAACATCAAGCTTGTGCAGCCTTGCTGAATCCTTCATCTGCTGAGCCTCTTGTCTGGCCCTTGCAATTAAGATTCATGACTGATCTAAACCCAGAGGCAAAAGCACTACTAGAAAAGGCCTTGATGCAAAGAAACGAAGAGAGGGAGAAAGCCAATTTGAACAAGACAACCCACTCACCTCCATCGCCTTCACCTTCTGATGTTGAGGCCGATGACCATGCCTCTGAGGTGATATGTCTTAAACTTAAATTATTCATTTGAACTCTTTATATCCTGAAGTATAAATTGTGCTCAGGGATATAATTTATAATATGAGGTTTCCAACCAAGGTAAGTGCTCTCTTTGTTTCAGATAAAATGTGACTTCGAAATTGTGCGTCAATATGTTACTTGAATGCTATTTAAAGATTTCTAGCACTAGAAATTCTTTTGTGCCTCCAGAATTTTTCTTTGGTATCAAACATATTCGTATGCAGCTGTGCTTTTTCTTTCCTATTTACTTGTTAATTTTTCTCAAACAGGTCAGTGATGTTGAGCTATGCTGCATCTGCTTTGAACGTGTATGCTCAATTGAGATCAGAACATGTGGCCATCAAATGTGTGCTCATTGCACTCTAGCTCTGTGTTGCCACAAGAAACCTGACCTTACAACGGCTGTTCCTGAGGCCCCCACTTGCCCTTTCTGTAGATGCAGCATTGCAAACCTAGTTGTTGTCCAGATTATCAACAATGCTACGGAGGTGGAAGTTAGTCCCTCCAAACCAAGGAGATCTAAGAAGTCCAGGAATTCTGGTGAAGGCAGCAGCAGCTTCAAGGGTTTATCAACCATGGGCTCATTTGTTAAAATAGGTGGTCGAAATTCAGGAAAAGTTGCAGCTGAATGCAATGAAGCAACCGATAAGTTTTTACAGATGGCAGCTGTGGATCCTCTTTCTTGCCTTGTAAGTTAATAAAGTTGAAGTGCATCATTACTCAAATCGCTTTGAAATACTCTCATTTGGGTACAATTTTTCAAATTCATGGAGCATATGAGACATGAGCGAGAAGAAAGGTCCAGCAAGCCGTTTTTGGTTGACAGTCCTATTATCAGTGTAATCTGCTTCTCTTGAAATTGGAGAAGCAGTAGAGTTTCTGGCTTTCCCTGCTCAATTCTAAATTTTGATATAGGGATAAAGCCGATTCCGATTGTTCAATAGCTACTGAATCCTTGTAAAATTCTTTACTTTTTCTTTGGAACAAAACTGTAGGAAATCATAGTCCTACTTATCTATCCTTAATGTCCTAACAAAAGTTGGGACGTTTGGAATTAAAATTTTTCTTTTGAAATTGCAGACAAGTTTGTATGCTGTGATGTCGTCTAATTATTGAAGTGAATTGTCTGCTTTGAGACAAGGCATTAAGTTCATTAAGGATGACTTCACTGATTTAGCAAGGTGAGTTTAAGTGAAAGAAACCTAGAGAGTCAATTAAAATGTGAAAGAGTGGGAAAGAAAACCACCCGGAATTTTCAAAGACAACCTTAAACTTTTGGTAAAATAAGCCAAGTATAAAAACAAACAAGAAAGAACTCTCAGGAGTTGAAAAAGAGCAAGTTCAATGAGAAATCATCATTCAATGAGTTGTCCTCGCATACATGAAAGGAACTCTAGATCCATTTCCATGTTCCAATAGTTCTCTGTTGGATCCTGTCTCACTGTCTGCACCTTATGAAGCATTTGAATGAGTTGCGATTTGGCCATCGGCAAATAGAGAATTTGGATTTGAAACTGATGAGAAATCATTAGATTCATAGATGGGTACGTTCTGATTCCTTCTAAAATTGCTGGCAGCTCTCCTTTCTGCTTCAAGAAAGTGACCAAGAGATGGAGTGTTGTTTGTGTTCACAGCATCAGTGGTTAGCTTTGAGCAGAGTGAAAACAACCAAGTTTTGGATTTGTAGTTCTTCTGGTCTCTTAAGCTTTCTGTTGCTCTTCTTCTCACCGATCTTCGCGAGAGCTCCAGAATGTTAGAAACACCAATGAGGCTCCCAAGCGTAATGCTCTTCTCATGGAAGAAAGAACCAGTGGACTGAAATGAAATCAAGCACAAAAAGATTTCACAAATGTTGTAATGTAATTCAGTTAATGCACAATTGGGAGACTGATTAAAGATAAATGGGAACAAAAAAAACAACTTAAAAATTTCTGTATGACAGTTTGAGTGATCTGTAAGCCCATGTTCTGGGACCCTGAGTTTTCTAGCAGGCCAGACCGCCTGACATACAACTTTTATAAATACATCAACAAGCGGGGGATCCAAGATCTTTTGGGCATCTTCCTTTTGTTGTCATTTTATGGAACATCATTGAGTATGAGAATGAGAAGAAGAACCACATTTCATATTTTAATTCTCTACAAGGAGGAGTGGAAGCAAACAACAGAGCAATAAACACCATCATAAAGGACCACGTGGAAAGAGTAAAGTGGGTTTTAATTTGCTTTTGCTGTTGTATGAAATGGACTAGGAAAACGAAAACAAAAACAAAGAGAAATGTTAGGTACAGGACATTATTGTGAAGAAACACAGAAATTCATTAAGATCCGGTACACTTTCCAAAACGTTTTGGAAGTAACTGTAGACAGCTTAAAGAAACAGAAATGAGTTGAAGGCACTCATCATAATCATAGTTAAAGACTTCAATACAGGTAAGTTAAAAAAGGAAGAAGAAGTGACCTCAGTTTCAGGATCTGAAGAAGAATCTGTGAGGGAACTGGGAGAACCAGAGAGCAAAGTACTGAAAGAAACTGATCCGGAGATATTGCGGTTTCTTACAAACCCAACTCTTGAGTTCAGTGGTCTAAGGCCAAGAGGCCAACCATCTTCCTGCTGTCAAAATTGAACAAAATGGGTTCAGTGTCACAGTCATAAACCTTTAAGAAAAGCAAAAGAGAAATTAAAAAGAAAATGGAAACCTGTTGTTGTTGAGCCATGAATGATGAGTCCTCAGCTCCAAGAATTTGGAGAATTACTGAATGTAAATGTTTGATGTAGAAAGAAAACTCCAGCGAGGCTACAGTGGGTAAAGCAGTGTCAATTTCATCATCATTTCGAGCTCTATTCTAAACAAAAAGAACTGCAATATACCATAGCTTTTTTCACAGTCTGCTCCTCTCACATGCCGCTCAGCGGCACTGTAATTGGCGCAAGAAACGCTGAAAATATAAAGCAGAGAGAGAAAGTGAAAGTGAAAACGACGTATTACCGTTTGTTCAATTTGGGCTTCCCTGGTTCAATAGACTGAAGGAAGGAGTGGAAATGGAATTATTTTTTGCACCGGGCAGAGAGAGAAAGGAAATATGAAGGTTACAGCCTACACTTTTCCTAATATGACCAAAACATCCTCGTGTGAATACTTATGCCACCTAATTCTTAAATATTGAAATTTGTCCGCTCCAAATTTCACACATTTTCAATGTGTTCAAACAGATTCTAATAGAAGTTTTGTTTTAAAAAAAAATAATAATCTAAAAAAAATATATTTAACAAATTCTTGCAATAATCACTAAACTTTTCTAAGCTTGTTTGGATCATAAATTTTGGAATAGAAAGTATTGATCTATCCTAATGTTTAATATCGGGATTTTTCTTCCTTAAAGTTAAACGATAGTTTACATCATCTTTTAACTTGAATTACTTTTAAATGGTTGAGTGGTTTGATGGAGACTTTTGAGTGTATTACTCAAAAAGTTATGAGTTTAAATTCCTCTTTGATTACTAATAGGGGTTTAAAGCTTTCACCCAATCAATAATTTTAAAGTTTCGATAGATTAATTGAAATATGCGTAAATTGATATCAGCACATCCTACCGTTAAAAAAAAAAAAATTAACCTCAAGACCCCATCCTACCTACCAAACACATGTAATGCATGTGTCCTGTCCCTTAACGTCAGTTACAATAAAAGGGTATATGAATCCCAAATTCCCAATAGTTAACTCCCAATGCATGTGTAAAATACGATAATGTCACATCCACGGTTCCACCTCTTAATTGTTTATTTCTTTTTAACATCTGTTACAATAAGAAGGTATATCCCAGTAGTTAACGTTCGTTAAATTGCAGGCCTTTGACAAAAGTGAACCTCACCAAGGGCGTAAATGTGATTAACTCCAAATTCTGGTGCAAAAATGATTTTGGCATTAGGGACTTTGAAGCCATTTCTGTAAAAGGCACAGGGGTTGGTTTGTCCTCACAGCGAACTAGTTATTTTGATAGTAAAGGTCCCAAAGGAAGAGAGACCGTTAAAAGAAACATAAAAATGGAAAGGGGAAGGATCTGCTTTGCTTGGGTGTACATAAACTGTATCTTCCTGTATTTCGAGGGCCACCTTTTCTTTTGGTCCACAAACAAACTCTGATCTCCCTGTTTTGATTAGTCCAAGCTCCAGCCACTCCAGGCCAGGATGTCTTCAATTTTCGAACTACTGAACGACGATGAAGAACACTAGTCCCCACCACTTCAACACTTGAGAAAATGATCCTTCCTGTGCTGGAGTTTTGTATCAAAATGAAAGGAAGCAACATTGAACTTTAGTCACACAAACATCAGAACATTCAAATGAGAGAGAGTATAGATAACTACATACAATTACTGCATTACAACAATGGTTGTGAAATACATGAATGGCTTCAAACATTACAGGAGGCATGAATTCTTGTGTTTCTACTGTTATCAGGTTTATGTTAGTGCCACAAAGTATGATAATTTCTTATCAACGTAATTAACTGAAAATTTAGTTAACAGAATTGCTGATTCGAGGCGGTGAAAGAATATTTATTTCTGAATTTGGTTCACACCAGGTCGGTACTCTCCAAGTCCAAGCAGATCCTGTAAACGAGAAAATGTAGATTTTCTTGTTCAGTAACAGAAAGTAAGCTTTACTAATATCAGAAAATGTCGGTTCTAAGCAAATATTATTTTTTATGCTACCAATGGCTATTCCAGGGGCACCACAAATCTCATACAAATTTATCGATATAAAGTGTAGGTGCAAACAAAAGAAGTTGGAATCAAAATAAGCAAGATTGAGGATTGTAAATGAGACAGTGCAAGTGAAGGTCATAGAGCAAGCTCCACACTTTTTGTTGTCAACTACGTAATGGGATAGAACCACCACTATAACCATTTTGAGAAGACAGAAAATAATTTTAGCTAACCCTGGATTTGCCTCACTTTGTTCAGCCAATGTGTAATAAGTGAATAGCTAAATTGAGCAAGAAAGTTAGGCTCAGCCTAACATCAAACATGTAGAAAGGTGACCATGGAATCAATAAGCAATTGTGAATATCAGTCAGACACTAGTAGCAAATCTTGGAATGAACATGTGGGGAGAATATCTACCTGGCATGCTTTATTTTTAGCCCTGGTTTCTGCTGTACTAGGGATATCATGGTTTGGTTTTAAAAATCTCTTCTCACGCCGATCACACGAGCCCCATCCATCTGAGAACCTACCACCCCTAGTATCACCAAAAAGCAATGCAAAATAATAATTTAAATAAAACCGTAACAAATTAGTGCCAAAATGTTATTCTGAGTTATAACTTGTTTATAAAACTGCCAAGAGAACTTACTGCATGCATGCCCGAACGATAAATTCAGCACGCAGAACATTACGGCTTTCATCAAATTCAATAGTCTTGTCTTTGATTTCATAGGAGAGATTGAAGTAAAATGATATCTTCCTCCAACCTATAAAACATACAAACCATATATTACATCCATCATCGCATGCCAGTTCAAACAGACATAAGAAAAACCACTAATTATTTACCTGACTTTTTAATGAAAGGGTTCCCCGAAATCATAGTATAATCTGATTTCTCCAAAATCTGTTCATTGGATAAGACAAAACCGACATCTGATTAAAACACCAATTAAACCAAAAGTAATATTCCAGTATCGCAAAATATAATCTATGAACTTAAATTTCTCAAGCTTGATACAGCTATAATATTACGGTAAAACTCATGACAGTATCCAGTCCAGTACCTTTGCTCATAATTTTATTGACTCAAATAATCAACATAAAAATCAAGTAATATTAACAATGACCTCCTCTAAGGTTTAGAGAAGGCGTCCATTACACCCAAGAGTTATTGGATTGTAAGGGAACCTTCTCTCAAAGCCAATAATTAACAAGAAAATTTCATCTTAAATTATGTTTATATACCTCTAATTTGACTTGACTTTGTTAATTAATAGTCTTGTCCTTGAGGGTGATCCCCTTGCAATTTAAAAACTTATGAATCTCATTAACACTTTCCCCAAACCTCAGTAAAGGTCATCACTGAATCCCCTAAATCAAAACCATTCACCGACTTCTATCAAGAACCTTACGTGCCAAATGAAAGAATGAATTTATGAAATTAAGATAATAACAATTAAATGCAGCAACAATACTAAATTGAAATCAAATAACAATAAATAAATAAACAAATACCGCCATAGCTGTGTTCTGGTACTCTTTAAATAGAGAAACAGAAGGAAACATCCCAGACAAGCTGTGCTTCACAACATCATGCTCCTGCACCTCATTTTTCGACCTAATTCCCGGCGATAAATATGTCTCTGGAGACGAATACAGAGGCGGACTCGGCGGGGTTCGGTGCACCACAATCAAAGGACTACTCTCGCTCACTTCCGACGCGCACGTTCTCGCCATCTTCTGCCGCCGAATATTTGCATCAACGATCTCTCCATGTCGGTGATGATCAGAGTTCGGGGAGTACTGTTGCCTGCGGTTGTGGTAGTGGTGGTGGTGGTGGTGGTGGTTTTTAGGGTTTGGAGGTGGAGAAGCGTGGGAGATCGGGGTGGGTGGGGATTGGTAGTTAGGGTATTTAATGGCGAGAGGTTTGCGAGATTTGGAGGAGGAGGAGGAGTGTGAAGCTGCGGCTGAGTCAATTACGGCCCATAATGCGGCATCGTCTAGGTCTTTGTCGTCGATTGAGAAGGGGATCGGTGATGTCATAGAGAGAGAGAGAGAGAGAGAGAGAGAGCTTGTTGTGAGGAGAAGGCGGCAAGCGGACTAGACGGGGCTATTTTTTGAATTTATTTGTGGAGTAGTAAAACGACGGCGCTTACTAATGGAATCGGGACCCTTCGTGAGTTCGTGTACAAATCCTTTCATCATGTACCGGAAGATCATTTTCTAAATGAAAATGAAAGTGCCATAGAGATTGTGCATCGAATTTGTGTATTAAATGACATAATAAAATATTAATCGTTGATTAATATTAACTAATAATAAATTAACGGTTAATATTTTTATCAATTAAGAGTTTGATTGAAATAAATTAAAATAATATATGAAATATTTATTTAATAGATATCTTGAAGAAGTGTTTTATTAATTTATTTTTAATGAATTAATGAGTACTCCGAAATTAATAAGAGTTAACGACTGCTTCCTACCTAAATAATAGCTTAATAACATTTTTCTACCTTTAACTTCTAAAATATCATTTTATTATCCAAATTTATGTTTCGGCAACGAACAGAGAGAAACTCGATTCAAGCTGTTGGGACTTTTAAAGATGAGAGGTCGATAAGTCTTTTAGTGGTGGAAAGTTGGATTTTGGTGGTTAGAATTGATTGAAATTTGACTTGGAAGGGACAGTGACTCAAACCCTAATTATTTGATTGCCGACGATTGGTGAGGTCGACGGAAATAGTGTTTGAAAGATTTTGATGAGTGATGATTGAGGAAGATAAATGTGGTGATATGAAGTCACAACGATTCTGGAGTCAGAAACGAAATATAAATTTGAGTAGTAAAAAATGATATTTTAAAAGTTTGTGGATAAGAAAGTGACATTAAGTCATTATTTGGGTGAGAAAAAGTGGTTTTTACTCGATTAATAAGGTATATTCTAAAGTTAGACTTAAAATTATCTTTGATTCACTTAAACAAGATTTATTTTACTAGTAAACTTTGAGCAACAATTTGTTAATAGAAGAGACGAAATTACAATTAATTTTTGACTAATTGTAAATTTTAAATCTTACTCATTCCCTTTCCCTCCTAAACCTCTTTAACGCCGCTAACTCGTACCGCCGAAACGGAGTACAAAACTCATCCTCGCCGTCAGTCTCTCCGCCGTCAACGATCAAATCCAAACCATCGTTAAGATTAACGGCTTCGTTGCTCTTCGTCTCAGCTCTTGAATCCTCTATGAACACCTGTAATTCATCAACAGGCCACTCAAATCCCTTAACCTCTTTCTTCGATTTTGTTCTAGTTTCCGGATTCTTCTTCACGCGATCGCTTAGTTTGGAAGAAATTGCGGAGAGAAGAACCGGATCCAAGTAATCTTCAAGCTTCCTTTTCATCGTTTCTTGCTTCCTGTGAATGGGAGTGGAATTCGCCTTCGATTGAGAAGAACTTCGGTCTTCGTGATCATCGTACCTGTAGCAATTCTTCGAATTAATCAAGTAAAACTATCAAGAGACTTAAATGAATTTGAATTTGAACTGGATGTAGGTAAATGTAGAGAAAGTACGGAGAGTTAAGAGAGGGAGGACGGAGGAGGCGGCGGTGGATGTCATCGACGGTTGCCAGAGGATTCGAATCTTCTGCAGTGCTCATATTTTCCCGCCAGAGAATTTACTCAATTTGTGACAGTTAGTTTGAGGATTTGAGCTTCATGTAATTGAAATTTCTTATAAAAGTAAGTTTGGAATTTGCTAAGTAGAAAATTGTATTAATAGTTTGGAATTTGCTAAGTAGAAAATTGTATTAATTTAGTGAAAGATCAAATTTGCAGGGGGCGATGAAGTTTAAGTTATGGATATTGGATATTGTTAATAATTATAAAGAAGGAGCCCTGTTTACATCTAAGTTTTAATTTTTAAAATCATATGGTAATTGTAAAATGAGAGAATATTAATTTACAAGATTCCAGAGTTTGAATGTTTAATTTTGATCTTGGTTCCAGGCTTTTGTTATTTCTGCATCACTCAAGTACCACAGTTTTAACCATCTTTGGATGATCAAGCGGTTTGATAAAAACTCTTGGGTGTATTACTCAAGAGGTCTTAAGTTTGAGCCTCTCTTCGAGTGTTAATAGAAGTAGTGATTGAAGTTCTTACTCGGCTAATAGTTTTAGGATCCTAAAGAGTTAATTAAAGTGCGTATAAACTGATCCAGACACCCTCTTCATAAAATAATATATTTAAAAAAAAATACCCGAGCTTTAATGTTCAGTTTTGATGTTAGTTTCCAGCTTGTGGTGTTCGCACAATAATAGAGAAAGATTTATGTTATATTTATGGCCCTATTTGTCTCTTGTTGCTTAACCCCAAGAAAAAGCTCCAAGATTACTCTGATGGAAACTTGGATAACCTTGGGTGCGTTTGGTTTATTATTTTGGATAGGATTTTAGGGATAGTATTGGATAATTGAATATGGGAGCATTACGTGGTAAAATTTAAAAATTTATAAAAAAAACCCCATAAGTTTGCTAATTTAATAAATACCCTAACATGTAAAATAACAAAAATACCCCCACCACCTGCAGTGTCAGATTCCGGCCATCACCGTCGGAATCTGGCCAGAAAATCGCGTTACGACACAGACCGGTCGGATCTGTATTGTAACGCATTGTTATAGCCTTTTCCGGCTAGATCCACCACGGATCTGACTAGAAAAGGCCAGATCTACGGCGTGCCGTGGCCGTCGACGGCCAAAAAGGCCAAAACGATGGCCAAGATTTGGCCGTCGTTGACCTCAACGACTGCCATTTCTTTGGTCGTCGTTCACGGCCAGATCGGTGAACTTCCGACCATTTATGGTCGACAGATAGGCTGTTGTACAGATTTTGGCTTCCACCGACGGTGGTTGCTAGAATCTGGCAAGTATGGGTCATGGGGGTGTTTTTGATAATTTTTAAACTTTTTTTCAGGGTGTATTTGATGAAATTAATAACCTTATGAGGTTTAAAAGTAATAAAAAATAGGATAATATTTCTGGAATAATATGTCAAACATTATTTGGAGAATAAGATTGAGAATAGGAATAAAAATAATAAGCCAAACATGGCCCTTACTGTTAATTTCGAAGGCCTGGGTCCTCGAGTATCTTACCACGCAGTATTCTTCTACTAGTTTCCAATGTATCGGCTCTTTGCCAAAGCCAAATGTGTCATCCACCCTATCCAAACACATGCATTGTACTACTGGTGTTTCCATTATTCAAGCGTATTATGGAAACTGTTAGGGCCAAAAATCGTCTTGGGCTTGACGAGGCCCAATAACGAAATAAACATGTCACGACCCAAAGCCTCAACCCAATCCCGATTGGGCTTACGCTTAAAATCACCTTGCGACCTACCCACTCTATGAGTTGGGCTATCCTATAAGTTAAGCTAAACTGGGTTTCAGCCCATTAGCCTGTAACAGTCTATAAATAGGAAATCAGAATCCCATTATATTTCCTCTTCTACTAAGATTCCAAATCTTACTCAAACTATTAAACTTAATATGATAAGTTCAAGAAATCTTATCTTTTTTATGATAGGGATTCGTTGTAAATTTTAAATCTTACTCATTCCCTTTCCCTCCTAAACCTCTTTAACGCCGCTAACTCGTACCGCCGAAACGGAGTACAAAACTCATCCTCGCCGTCAGTCTCTCCGCCGTCAACGATCAAATCCAAACCATCGTTAAGATTAACGGCTTCGATGCTCTTCGTCTCAGCTCTTGAATCCTCTATGAACACCTGTAATTCATCAACAGGCCACTCAAATCCCTTAACCTCTTTCTTCGATTTTGTTCTAGTTTCCGGATTCTTCTTCACGCGATCGCTTAGTTTGGAAGAAATTGCGGAGAGAAGAACCGGATCCAAGTAATCTTCAAGCTTCCTTTTCATCGTTTCTTGCTTCCTGTGAATGGGAGTGGAATTGGCCTTCGATTGAGAAGAACTTCGGTCTTCGTGATCATCGTACCTGTAGCAATTCTTCGAATTAATCAAGTAAAAATATCAAGAGACTTAAATGAATTTGAATTTGAACTGAATGTAGGTAAATGTTGAGAAAGTACGGAGAGTTAAGAGAGGGAGGACGGAGGAGGCGGCGGTGGATGTCATCGACGGTTGCCAGAGGATTCGAATCTTCTGCAGTGCTCATATTTTCCCGCCAGAGAATTTACTCAATTTGTGACAGTTAGTTTGAGGATTTGAGCTTCATGTAATTGAAATTTCTTATAAAAGTAAGTTTGGAATTTGCCAAGTAGAGAATTGTATTAATTGAGTGAAAGATCAAATTTGCATGGGGCGATGAAGTTTAAGTTATGGATATTGGATATTGTTAATAATTACAAAGAAGGAGCCCTGTTTACATCTAAGTTTTAATTTTTAAAATCATATGGTAATTGTAAAACGAGAGAATATTAATTTACAAGATTCCAGAGTTTGAATGTTTAATTTTGATCTTGGTTCCAGGCTTTTGTTATTTCTGCAGCACTCAAATACCACAATTTTAACCATCTTTGGATGATCAAACGGTTTGATAGAAACTCTTAGGTGTATTATTTAAAAGGTCATGGATTCAAGTCTTTCCTCGAGTGTTAATAGAAATAGTCATTAAAGTTTTTACCTAATTGATAGTTTTAAGATCTTAGAGAATTAATTGAACTGCGTATAAAATGGTCCAATGTAGGCCAAATGTGTCGTCCACGGTGTCCAAACATATCCATTGTACTACTGGTGTTTCCATTATTCAAGCGTATTATGGAAGCCTTTGTTGTTTGTGCATAGGTTTGGCCATGCAACTTCACCTGTGTCTAATGTGTTTAGAAACTGTGCATATAATTGGATTTTTCGTACCTATACTGAAACAATATAGAGTAATACGAAATCGAGATAAAAAACATACACAAATATCAATCAAGTAAAAAGAAAGAAATATACACATGATTTACCTTGATTCACCCAATTAACAGGCTATATATTTACATCCAATAAAATCAATATTATTAAAATACTGTCTCACTTCTCTTGTTACAATTAAAGTAATTTGTCTTATGATTTGTTATCTTTCTCATACAAGATAAAAGTATGTTTATGTAAAGTTTAAAAGATTAAAACCTAATACTACAAGGATCATTTTTCCTAAGTTTAAACTTAATTAGAAATTAATAACTTAGAGAAATCTTTAAACGGTTCTTCATGGAATAGGCCCAAACCATCTATGGTCGACAACTCCCGAATGTGGGACCTCCGAATGCGTCTGTGTGACCAGTTATTATTGAAGTGGTCGTTAACTCAAACGTATTGCTTCTTATGGAACCACCCACTCTACACCCCGGTGAATGACCTACAGATGAAGATTGACTTTGGCTTTGGCTTTGGATTTGGGTTCTCATACTAAAAATCTCAGTCCTGACGGAACTGGAGGATTGCGAATCCGCATGGGTTTTTGCTCAATATGGTGACTTGTGCTAATTACACAACTGAGATTTATCAGTGGCTGCCTTCAGTATTGCAACAGAGAAAATTGGAGGTTACATTTTCTCTGTGGTGGCCACTTTCATAACGACTAATTGGGCACTTGCAAAGCACCGCCGCTTGAAGAAGGTAATGGTTAATTTTTCTTTATCCATTTTCATTCAAATGGGGAAAAAATTTAAATGGTAAATGCTGCCCATGCCTATGTCTTAAGCTAACAGAGATTAATAGTAACAATGCAACTAGTCATGTAGCTCTTAGGTGAACCATAGAATACACTGAATCCTATTTTTTAACTCATTTAATGTCATCTATTTCATCAAATACTGCAATCTGTAAATGAGCATTTGCATAAACATTCTTTTTTGATGGAAAGGAAGGATGGCCAAAATATCCCAGACGGGTGATCCTACCTCCATTCCTGTGCACAATTCAGAAAAAACGTGAACTTTTGACCGCATCAGTTGCTAAAAATTTGATATCAAGAATTCAAGACCACAGAAGATTACTTCCACTGAAGTGGGAAAACAGAGAGAAACCATTGTAGCCATTTAAATTGCTTCAGACTGATATATTCTTCATAAAATTTATCTTAGATATGTTGTTATGTTGTGTTTTCAGAGTGTAAAAGCTTCATTTCCCCATACGCCAGCCAGGTACTAGCACAGAGTCCTACTGTTCTGTAGAAAAGATTCAAAACACCAATGTTTTAAAAATGCATATAATTAAGCAGTAAAACATTGTACAAATGAAGTAGCTATGTAATCTAGAGAATGTCTGAAGCAAATTTGACATTTACAAAATGAGCATGTGACTTTCACCTGCTGGGACTCAACTTCCTACTTCTGTAACTACTAAAAGTTCCTTTACTTTGATGATAATAGATCAGATTTATGCTCCCATTTTTTGTCAATGTAAGGGATCTCGGAGGCGGCCTAACCTACGCGGTAACCCAAAATTTTGGTAAGTCCTGATTTCACCTCCTAGCGTGGCTGTCACGATTACCAACCCCCATGCTGTTGTTTGTGTTGTAATGTTTGAGTGATTACCACCATCAAACCAAGACCAAGAGGAAGACCAAGATGGAAATGATGAATCGCCATGCCTTATTGAGGAAGAATTTGAACTAGCACCAGCAGTAAGAGAAGATGGATCATCTTGCCTTGTCGAGGAGGAATTTGGATCCGTTGCAGCGGATATAGAAATTGAATCACCACTTCTTATTGAGGAAGAACTTGAATTGAATGACTCACCAATCCCTGTATCACGAGAAACCAGAGCAAGGTCTTCTTCTGGGGGAGTTGAAGCATGGTCCATTTTGTTGTTATTTTTCTTGGGAAGAGGTGGCAAAAGTTTCTTCATTTCTTCCCTTGTTGGTGATCCGTTGGCAGAAGAAGGGCCTTGGCCTAAGCGTTTTGCGAGCCTTTTGGAAGTCGATGGCATTAGCGGAGGTTCACCCTTCACTATACCAGGCCAGGTGATTGCTACTGAAACATCTTTGCACTGAAAGTGTTCATGAGATGTTGTAGAGACCTTACTTCTTTTTCCAGCAACAATATTTCGATGGTCTTCACGCTTCCAAACATATACTTGAGAATCTTCACTTGCACACACCAAATATTTTCCATCTAAACTGAAGGAAGCTGAAATTTGGCTGCTTGTATTTCGGAAGCCTGTCAAGCGAACAGTATATGCATCATTGTTGTCTACTGGTGAGAAAGAAAACAAATGCATCCATAAATTTCACGAAAACACACCTCTGAATTTATGAACAAGGTCTAAACCATCCAAAATCCGAATCCGGGAATCAGCAGAAGTAACAAGAACTTCAGATGGATTGCTTGGAGAAAACTGTTCAAATTCAAACTCAAATCTTTATGCATTGGAGGTAAATAATAGAGTATCTGCAATAACATAAATGGGCGGCAAAAGAGTTGGATTACCTGAAAACCAGTGATCTTTTTGGCATTAGACTTCTTCTTGGTTTGAAATTCAGTCTGGTTTAGTTGATGTAATTTGCTATCTGTTAACCCAATAAAATTAGCATTTCTACAAGCCCCTTTTCACTATATTTTAACAGGAAAAAAAAAAGAGCAACTGATACCGTCTATGCTGTACATGCGACAAGTCCCTTTATGTGAGCCAATGAATGCACTCTTCAATAATTGAAACATGAAACAACAATAAAAATAAGATCAACATCATACAAAGAGATGAATATTCATAAAAGTAAACAGGACTGCAAAAGAAACATTCTAAACCTGGCCATCAGGGGTGTAGCACGCAGCTGTGACCATCTCATGAAGATCTGTCCAGTCGACGACGAGGCGTTGGGAAATGCTCCATATTCTAACCTTTGCATCAAGTGACCCACTTATAAAATAATCGTCGTCTACAGGATTGAACTGTATGCAAGTTACTGCCAATCAATCAGAAATCACTAAGTTAAAAAAAAAAAAAAAAAAAAAGATCATACTATTGCTGCATTATCAATATTACAGATGCTTATCAGAAAATTTGATAGACATCTTACCATAGTCATTGTGGGCAAACAACTTTAAACAGCTCTTGGTTTCCAAGTCCCATAACCGAACAGTTTTGTCCATTGAAGATGAAAGCAGTAACTGCAAAAATCAATTAAAAATCATCTAAGTTCTAACCTTGTTTATTGAATTTTGCTCATTAAGAGACAAGAATGGCGAGAAGCTGACCTGAGACCTGGACCAGGAGAGGTCCAAAACATCATCCAAATGACCTTTGAAAGAGTAGACCGGTTTATCGGAGAGCGAAAACACAGTTTCTGGGACATGAACATAATCAGGACTGCCTTTTGATCCCTTCTTTTTCTTCTCTGAACCATCCCATCTATCTGGTGAACCACCCATTGAGATATGAATTGGGGTCAAATTCCCTTCATTCATTGACATAACTTCACATTCTTGCACTTCCCACACATGTATCACTCTATCTTCGCCTGCACTAGCAAGAAACCTCGCATCTAAACTGAATTTAATGCTCCAAATAGACCCCTCATGCGCCTGAATTTCTTGACATAAATGCAAAGCACTCAATTCCTTATGTGATTTCCCTGTCTGCCTAACTTTAACCCATTGATTAGAAGTCCCTTTGCTCTGCTGTTTCTGTTGCTCCGAAGACGATGACACTGCATGAGGAGGAGCATGTTCCTTCTCTTTCTCCGACCTCAAACTCATAGAATTCGCCACACCTTTTATATTCTTCAACAATGCAGCCCCCCTTCTCTTGCTAATTCTCAAACTCTTAGAAAAATACGAATTTGACCCAAATTTTCTGTCATTATCAGATGTATTCTCATTATTTCCAGACACATTTTCTCTCCTCATTAGCTCCTTAACAACAGGAGAATACCCCACCGATTTCTCAAATTCCTCCATTGTTAATTGCTTTCCCGTCTGCAAATCACTAAGCCTATTCCACATTCCCTTCTCATTATACTCATTAACAATAAACTCTTTACCAGTATCCAAATTCTTTATCAAGAAAAAAGCTCCTAATCTACCATTCGACACTATCGACGTCAACGCTGATCCGCCGCGTCGAACTGACCGACTCCGGGCGGTCCCCCCCTCCCTATTATTCGCTACTCTAACCGACTCCTGGTACGGATTTATCCGTGCATTTGGCGCCAAAACCATTGATGATGTTCTCGTTAATCTTTGTTTAGAAATTTTCCCAATCATTTCCTCTTTTCTTCGTTTATCGACACATAAGGATTCAATGTCGCCGTCTGACCTTGACCGTACAAGCACCAAGGGTACCGGAGAACAACGCGCAGAAGGATTTTCTTGTTTATTAGCTTCTTCCGTAACGTTAACGGTAACGTTATCGTTAACCTTAACGTTAACGGGAACGTTGTTGGTGGTTTGTTGCGGAGTACTTGAAGCTTTAGAATCTTGATGACTATTACTGTTATTATTATTATTATTATTAAACACAGGTTGTTTGAAACTGAGAAGCTCTTTGTCTCTGGACAATCCCATATCTTCAAAAAGACGCTTACGCCGTTCGTTGATAGAGCCAGGCGCCATCGTCCACACGTTGTAATCACATGACATCAAGCCGTCCCGGCAGGGAGCGGCGGCGGCTGAGGTGGCGAAGTTTTGATGGTGATGGACAGACGACACGGTGGAGACAAATGACATGCGTGAGTCTTCAAACCCTTCATCGTCGTCGTCGGAACACGAAGACGCCAAGTCCAGAGGCACGGCGTTGGAGGTTCGGTCAAACGTTTCAAAAAATCGGTCGTCGTCGTCATCATCGCCGAGGCCATCCCAATTCATCGTCAGCGTCTTTTTACGTTCCATATTGTGGGTACTGAAGATTGACGTGAAGGGAATGATACTATAATTTCGTTATAACATGGGATTGGCCGATTGGGAGGAAAAAAAAAAAAAAAAGTGTTTTGAATGTTTTGTTTTGTGTTTGATTTTGTTTCGGGAGGAAGAGAGGAAAAGAAGGGGTGGACTGGTTACCGTTATTTGTTTTTGGGTGTAAATGTTGGATGGGAAACTGTTAACGTGGTCATTATTTATTTATTTTTTACATCCCTTCACGTCTTTGTGATCTTAGGTTGGCGAGTTCTTGCATCAGATTCAGATTTGCCTCCTCATGAATTCGCCACTCTTACGTTGCCACGTGTTTGCTTATAATTCTTACGGCCCATTTGGGTCAGAAACGCATGGACCTTTGCCCGTTGGATGATGGATAGACTTTCTATTTGGATTAAGCCCAACTTAAAATTATTTCCAAATTAAGGGGTAAATTATTGTAACACATAAACACAATCTTTTTTTATACAAATTTGTAACAAATATTCATAACATTTATGTAATGTAATCTAATCTAATAGACTTGAAAAGAAAGTTCGAAATATTTTTAGTATCAACTTTTAAATTATTGGATTGTATTACAAATTTGACCCATCAGCACTGTATAATTTCCTCAAATTACTGTTGGCCTTAATGAAAAATATCAAAATTTTGTTATCTAACATAATTAATTTCCTAAATTTATATAAGATATACTCCCTCCGTTTCAATATAAATGTCGTTTTAAGTTTTTACATAGTTTTTAATAAATCAAAAACTATGCATATAATTGACTTTTTCCTCATATTGCCAGTGGGAAAATGTTGTTTTCCCTGTTGCAACACGTGTGAAATATTAAAATAAAGAGAGAGAAATTGTGAAAGAGAGGAGATGAGGGGAAGAGATAGATAAAGAGAGAGAGAGAGAGAGAGAGAGAGAGGAGTGAGGGGCAGTGTAGAGAAAAAGGTAGAGAGAGGAGATGAGGGGTAGGGTGGAGAAGGAAGATGTGGGTCATAAAACATTGAAAGAAGAAAACGTCATTTATTTTGAAAAAAATTAATACCCTCAAAACGACTTTTATAAAGAAACAGAGGGAGTAACATATTAGAGCATTTCCAATGATGCTCTTTATTTTAAAGAGCACATTTCACATAAATAAAAAGCACCTTCATTAATTTTTAAATATAAAGAACAAAATTTGTATTCAAATCAAATAGACTCTTTAAATTAGACTTAATAAATAAGAGAGAGACTTAATAAGAGAAAGAATTAATAATAAAATGTATAGAAACTTGTAATTTATTAAATAAAATAGAGATAGGGAGTAAAATTTAACTCTCTAGATGTAGAGAGACAAACTCACTATTTAATTTATATTTAAAGAATAAAAAGTTTATTGGACTTTATTTTTAAGAACAAACTCTTTATAATAAAGAATTTGGGTCATATAAAGAGTTCATTTGGAGATGCTTCCTCATATAATTTAGTATTTAATATAGAGTAAACGACTTTTTCCCACCCAAGGTTTACCTTAACAACCTTCTCACCCAAAAAGTTTCAAAATACCACATTTCCACCCAAAGTTTATATTTCGTTACAACCCAAAGTCGATTCCAGTGGCGTAAATTCTCTTCATCACCACCATTTAAACCTCCGGTCTCCTATCTACAAAACCCCTCACACTCTGGCATCTGATTTTACACTGATTATCAACCATCGCGAAACTAGAGTTCTTTGTTCTTAATTGATTTCCAGCTGATTCCGACTACGGATATTCAATTGGTCATCACCATTCGATCCACTGGCTTCTACTCTTAAAACCCCTCTTACCCTAGCTCTTAGTAACTCGTCGAACGCATGCTGACAAAGTGACGTGTATTTTGGATATTAATGAAATATAAACTTTGGGTGAAAAAATGGTATGTTGAAACTTTTTGGGTAAAAAAATATCATTAAGGCAAACCTTGGGTGAGAAAAAGTCGTTTCCTCTTCAATATAACGATTAAAATATGGTAAGTAGCATTTACAAAATAAGAAAATATATTTTATAAGTGGAAAAAAAAATTATTTTGTTATAGTGTAGGCAAAGATGATATCATCGCCGTATTTTATGACTATTTTTACCCTTTAAAGAAAGTCTTATTAGATATTTATAACACTATTGAGCTGATCCTTAGTTTGTGGATAAATTTGTTAACCTCCCTCAAGTTTTCACCTAAACAAAATTCGCCCTTTCTAATTTTGGAAATATTTCTCACCACTAGCTTGGCTCCTTAGACTTCACCTAACATTCAAAATGACAGGGACCTTTCAGAAGAATCCTAACGGGAGAGAAAGTATCAAAATTTTGATTTAAGAATCGTTTTGGTTAATGTATTAACAATAATTCTTTTTAATATATTTTGTGACAATCATCTGACTTATGGAATCTAAATTTACAATTTAGTTTCTTAATTTCTTTTTTTTTTTTATTTATAAATACATATATAGTACCTGCAGATGTGCTGCCGCTACAGTGCTATACATAATTAAAATAAAATTAAACAATATACCTTTTACTTCACATTCTTTTTTTCTTCCCAACATGCTTTCATCATGGATGACACGTTTTAGAATTCAGATTGGATATAAAATTATCATTAGCCCAAAAAACAATTACTATTTCAGCCATGACTCCAACATTTTGCCCATTTTATTTTAACATGTGGCAACCACTATTTTGAAACCCTGATCAGACTGGCCGATTGAACCGGGAACCAGCCCTAACACTGGTTTGGTCAGAAGTTAAACCTCATTTTGCATTAAAAACCGCTTTAGACCGATAGAATAGTGTTAGAGCGTCAGTCCGACCGACCTGGTTACAAAACTGGATCACTTAAAACCCCCAAGAAATCAATTCCTCACTTCCCTCTCTTAACACTAAACCCACTTCTCTCCACCACAGCTAACCCTTACATTTGGCCAACTCTCACCGAACCTACATAGCCACCCCCACATTTCCGTCGGAGAACACCAAGACAACATGTCGTGTCTATGGTGCTGATATGGGTAGCTTGTAGGCCGCAATAGACCGTCTTAAAATCACATAAATTTTGCTTTGTTTTTTGTGATTCTTTTGAGAGGATTGGTTAGGATCACAGTCTCTTTTCTAGAGGTGTTGGTTTGTATTTGGCAAATTACAAAAGGGTTCAACAAGCTTTGCACCATTATGTGACGTGGATTATCTACATATTGGGATGGAGTTAGGTGGTTGGTTGCCTCTTTTTTTTTTTCTTTTTTTTTTTTTTTTTTGGGGTCAGGGTGGTGATTTGGTAGAGGTGTAGCTTTCTTGATGCCAAGGTTGTGATTCTAGTCAGGTATGGGTATTATGAGTAGTTCATCGCTGCTGTTCGCAAGGGAAGTTGGTTGTTGTTCTTTGCCTTTTCTCCCCTCTTTCTGTTCGGTTTATTGGCTTGGTGGTATAGTAGTGGGTTACTTGTTTCTCGTCCTTTGCAATGTTTTAATAATCAACTCGGGGCTAAACCCGGTAAAGTGGCTAGGTCTCGGGTTGACCAATTTTATCGATTTGATCGGTGGGTCAAACCGGTGACATGTCACAAATTTTTTTTCAAAATTTTTGTATCAACACACATTAGCATGGTGGTTGTTTCTGGCTCACGTTAGCACGCATCAACGCTGGCCTTTTTCCCCTTTTTCGGTTGTTTTCTCACCTCACCACCACTAGAACGCCCATCTTCTCCTCTTCAAAACCGTACCTTTTATCCCCTCTCATCACTCGCTGATTGTCAGCCACGACAATGACACTAATCGACTTTCATTTGCCAGTTTCGAGCTGTTTTGAACGACTCCAACTCCAACCACCACCACCTTTAGACTCACCGGCTACCCCCCAACAAAATCCCCAAAGTCCCCCAAACCATTCCACCCACCAATCGTCATCAATTAGAAGCTAGGGTTTCATTGTTTCTTGGCTAAATTTTGGCAATTCCGGTGACTAAAACGTAATCAGACACCACTTCCTGACTCACCGTGATCCACCTTTCAAAACCCTCTAACCCCGATTCATATTTGCCTGTCAAACACTAGCCGAAAGTCACCGTGATCTAAATTTTGATTCACCCAGTTTTCTCTCAAAACCGGTTGGACTGACGGTTTGATACAGTGACCCCGGTCCAACCGTGGGTCATACAGGGTAAACTCACACCCCCGATTTTAAGACTGACACAGCCCAGCTCAGTGGCCGGTTCCCAATCATACCAGTTAAACCGGTTGGGCCGGGTTTTAAAACATTGGTGCTTTGTAGATTTTTGGACTCTTAGATGCAAAATATTTAAATCTAGATTATGGATGAGGTTTTGAAAGTTCAGGGAGAGGCTGAGAAAGCAGAAGGGGAGAAAATGGCTAAGAAGTTTTAGGGTTTGTATTGTCATGCTGACATCATCAGTCCGGGTCGGATTGATTCAACAGCTTGACTTAGGACTCGGTCACCTAACAGAGCTGGTTTCAAAACACCGGTGGCAACAAATAAAATGATGAAATCCCCTTATATGATTCGACAATTCATTCTAATCAAACAAACAAATCTTAGATCTTGATTTTACAATGGATAATAAGAATGTTTTTTTTTTTTTGTTAGCTAGTGTTTAAGTACAAACTTTTTTGTTTAAGTTAATTTGAACCAATGTTCTGAAAATCGGACCGGGCCTTGACCCGTTAAAGGGTCTGTTTCCTGTTTGACTGGTTGGATCGGTCGGTTGGACTATATTCTAAAAATTATTTTTAGTCCCTAAATGTTTGAAATTCATCAAAAAGAACCCTAAATAATTACGCATGACTCCCTTAAGGTTTGAAATCTATCCAAAACACCCCTATTGCGCAAAGAGACTGGTGAGTGGTTGTAGCAGTGACGATCGACGGCCAATCGAAGTTTGAAATCTTGGGGCTTTTGATGTATAGGTGTTAGGGAGTTCTATCGGCATCATAATTTATCGGAATCAAGAAGGAAGGTCGAAGGTTGCGTGAACAATGGTGGGCGGCGATCGACGGCCAATCGAAGTTTGGAATAATAGGGCTTTTGATGTAGAGGTGCCGGTGAATCTTATGGTGGTGTCAGGGAGTTATAACGGTGTCATAATTTGCTAGAATCAAGAAATAAGGTCAATGATTGCGTGAACGATTTGTGGGCGGCCAGCGACGAAAGGCTGGACGACGGCCACTAAAAATGGATGGGTTTTGTCGTGGAGATGTTGTCAAGTCTTATGGTGGTGTTATCTCCCTCGAACGATGCCGAAATTCAGCGAGATTGAGCATGATTGGACCGCGATTCGACACTATTCTGATAGTCCAATTACGGCTCAATCCGGTTTGATTAAGAATACCAGTTTTTAGAGGACACCGGATCGGAGATGACGCCGGTTCCAGGTCAAACCGATCTGACCAGCCGGTCTAGTCTGGTTTTCAGAACACTGATTTGAACTAAAATAACTTTTTTTTTTTTTTTTTGGGTCCATGAAAAAGCAAAATAACTTTTATGAATAAATCACGAGGAGCATAAGATTTAGATCCACTTTGGTATCGAAAATTCATATTATGGCCTCTTAAATAGGAGACAATTGAGCAAGAGTTCCCATGAATATTCATTTGGAAATGGGTTTTTGCATTTTTTTTATCACACCATTTCAGAGAACTCATCATGAAGGATGTTTGTCTTTCTTGGAAACCTGAGTATTCATATGTATAATAAGATCCTATATATAGAAAGACTCTATAGGGATTTGGGCACACAAATTTTTGATAACAAAACCCAAATAATCAGAATCTCATAATTACCAAAATTACCCCTCTTCTCTTCATACACATGCCTTCCTCTCAAGGGCACAAAAAAAGTAGACCATACAAACAACCACTTCCATCTCCTCCTGATTAATATTTCTCCTTCAAGAATCCAAAGAGAAATCTGAACATAAAATTAATGGAAAAATAAAAAAAGAAGTATGAACAACATTTTTAAGGCTAAATATAAGGAAAGATAGAAGCTTCATCTGGGTTTTATTCCAAGTTTGAAGAATAAATTCTCTTTCTTTTAAAATAGCATAACACCTTGAGTACAAAAGAAGCTGAGAGGAGCTTCAAACTTGGAATTCTTGACTTCATCTTTTTCTTGGTCTGTACTTGATTTTGATCTTTTGCCCACTTTAACTTTACAGCATCATAATGTCTTAGACCAATAATGAAGATTTAACTTATAGATCAATAGAGTAAAAATGAAAAAAAAAAAAAAAAAAAAAAAAAGAAGAAGGAATTCTTATAATTATTATTATGGATTTATACGACATGATTTTACAAGAATTTTGCTTACCGAATTGTGTAGATAATGAGATGATTAATTTTCTTTTCGAACTTTCTTGATCTTGCGGTGCAAATCGTCGAAGATAGGCTTAGGGAAGAGTGATTCAACCTCGTGTGAGAGATCGAGCCGCAGGGTTCGGCGTACATTGGACGATACTGGTCTTCTTTTTCTGGAGGAAAATGAATTGGACTTCTTGGGTGCAGGTGGGCATTGTGCTTTCACGGGGATTTTGTGATCCAAAGATGTTGGAGTTTTGAATCCGTCATCGTTTTCGTCGTGGTGTTGATCCGTTGCTTTGAACTCTCCTTCTAATTCTGGAGATTTTACAGGTTCTTTGGAGAGAACGAACGTGTCGTTGAAATTTTCTTCTTTCTCGTCAGCAGCAGCTTCAACAACTCGTGTTAATGATGCTTGACCAAGCTCAGGATCATGATCATCATCACTCTCGTCGTGAAATTCCCTCGAGGGTCTCTTCAAAGCGTCGAATTCAACACTAAAAACCTCCGAATTTGACATACTTAGAACGAAAATCTTGTTGAATTCTGAGTACATGAAGAAGCTTCAACCGCAATAGAACAGAAGACGAGAAATGGAGAAAATTGAGGAAATGGGAAGCTAAGAAGAGAAAAGATGGTTGTTATTAAAGAAATCCACATGCATATATGCATGAAACTGACAGAATACAAACATATCAATCGCCATCTTTTTTTTCTATATCTCTAGGCTTTTGGTGAGAGAGAGAAAGAAAAAGAGAAAACGGTTTTAACAGCATAGAATGAAAGAGAAACAGAGATGGTGTGCATCGGATCCTTCGCCAAAGCCTCCACAAAATTCACCAACTGAACTCTCACTTTCTTTCTCTTTCTCTGGATTTCTATTTCACTCTTGAGTTATGAGAATTTTAAGAGTATAATATCGTGTTTTGGCACTTGCTTTTTCTTCTTTCTTTTTTTTTTTTTAATATTTTCTGATCATCTCTACGAACTTCTATGCATCTATGCACGTGGCTTGTACATGGGGGACCATAGCGATCTATTTCTGCTACATATTCCTATATTTTTAATTTATCATCTCGTTACGACATTTTCAAACTCTCATATCATAAGATGCTTTGTTTATCTTACAAGTAATAATTTACAACGAATTTGTTGACTTTTTTATTTTTATTGACTTTAATCATATCAAGATTCAGTTGTTATTGGTTAAATTGTAGCGTCACATTTTTTAATTTTTTTTTCGATATTTCATTAAATTAATGTAATCCTGACAACCTTTTTTTCTAATTTATTATTGAATGATAATACTTTGAATACAATTTGGAGATTAATATGACCAACCACAAAATCCACCTCAAATACTAAGCATTATTAATCATTAATTTTATCTGTCAAAGTGATGAAATGGATGTGTGGCATCATATATATATATATATATATAATCAGAGGTGTCCATGTCAGTTTGGACGTCTCTCAACTAAATCTCTAAGAACTTAAAACTACTAATCAAGTAAGAGTTTAATAGTTATCCCTATCAGGAATAGAAATAAATCGAACTCAAAACATCTTGAATAATATACCCAAAAGTCTACTCAGTCACCTAATAGTGGTTTATCATAGATGTTCATATATGTATATATAATTAATCTTTATATTAGACATCTTGAATTTTTTAACGTCCAAACCAAATATAAGCATCCGATCATTAACTTTATAAACCTTAAAATCAACATCCAATCACCGAATGTTCATCTTTAATCTACACATTAAAAAATTTTGGATGTTTGCACTTGAAAATTTGATTAAATATGATATTTAACTATAAATACATGTAAAAATCCAACATAAATTCATAGATTAAAAAAAAAAAAAAAAAAAAGATAGATCTAGATCTAACTTTTCGAGGACATAAATGAATGTATTTTCTTTCATTCACTAACCTTGTACCAAAGCTCATTAAAGCTTTACTTTACTTGGTACCCATGAAATATCTCTACTCCCATTCAAAATCCATCAACCTAACCTCATTATGTATTTACAAAATCTTTTAAACTTTACGTTAACTTCACATTTACAAAAGTATGATCTAAGTTTGACCTTTCAAACCAAATTCAATGAATCATCAAGTCCATTCATATTCATCTGGCATCCGTGATTCCACACAGTCAAACCTCCATTAAAATTCTGGAGGTGTATTATTGTGCTATTCTTGACTCACATAAATTTCATCTTAATTACTCCCACCGCTCTGCAATATTAGCGGAAATTTATTTTGTTGCTTTAACTATATATTCGTCACATGAAATGAAATAGTGGTTTCGCGCGTTTTTATTTGCGGTGGAGTCAGTGATACGCAGCGTTTCGTGCAGGTAAACTAAACTTAGGATTCCACCACTGAACATGGAAGCTGTTGAGATTTGGTAAGCTTCCAGATTTAACTACTCCTAGTATCACTCACCCTTCCTTAGACCTTAAACCTGTTAATTAATTAATATTAATTAATTTAAAATTATTCATTTTATCGTGAGACGACATATTGACGAGACAATAATCGGACTTGGAATTATTATCTTATCCTTTACTTTGAGTACAAAGCCGGGAACCGAACTTGAGGAGGGTGCATGGTTTTCATCATCAAATAGTATGCCAAGTTTGGAAAGCCATCTCACGCGCATTCTACGAGCGTGAAGAAAGCGATCTAATCATTTGTTGGCAGCAGTGCGTTGAGGATATTGTTTCCGTAACAGAATGTAGACATGTGAAGGAGGATTTTGTTAGGATTAAGTACTTAAAAAAGTAATTAATTTAATTAAAATTAAAAAAGAGCGTAACGAAAACTTAATCTCATGCGGGCAAAAGAAAAGCCGTATCCACATGGGCTTTGTGGCTCAAATGCTAACCATCATATCAAATTCCACGTATCACAATCATCAATATTCATCTCTCTCTCCCTTTATAATTAATTAATTTTAATTAATTTTAGTTTCAACTCTCCTCTCTTTTCAGTTTCGACCTAACAAATATCTACTTAGGAGTTTGGCTTTACTCGATTAAGCACTGTTTTTTTTTTTTAATTCATTAATGCTGCCGTTTTGCCATCCTGTTATTTATTGCAAATTTTCAGGTTATTAAGATGCAGTTCATTCCATCTTGCATTTTTTTTTAAATTAATTTGTACAAATACGTGCGCACAACTAACAGCAGTGGCAGTGCATGAATGTCCAAGGCTTTGGCAAATACAAGTTAATTGCATTTTTTTTTTTTTAATGACGCAGGCTAACTTTTTACACGTAACTCAATTAGTCTTTAGTGTCCATTGAATATTTTATAACGTCAATATAGTAAGATAAGTCACAAATATTTAATGACCAAAGTGTTTAAGCTAATTTGCACATACCTTGACTAGTTTTATAAGTTTATTAAACACTCTACAAGTTTAATGTTCCAAAATAAGCCACAAATATGATAGATAGACCCAAGGTTCAAACCTAAGAAGTCAATAAAGAGAGCAAATCTCCCTGACCGTTATAGCACCCCAAGAGGTTGATCTAGCAGTCAAGGAGGTTTGTTCCCTTTCTTGAGTTTTTAGGTTCAAACCTTGGGGTAAGACATTTAATGGACCCCATAGATTAGTTGAGATGCGTATAAGCTGGCCCGAACACATTGTTACCAAAAAAAAAATGGATAACCCCTTGGGGTTAAGTTAATTGCATTTATCCCGCTAAAATTTAAATTTATCACCAAGTCATTCATTTTTAATTATCGTGATATACCAGTGATTCATACAAACGTCAAGTAAAAATAGATGATAGAGAATAAAATTTAGGGCTCTTTTTGGTTATTTATAACAACATTCTATGCTATTTAGCATTTTTAGAAAATAGGATAGGATTTTGAGAATCATTTTGTACATTTTTTAATAGCATTTTCTAAAAATATTTAAATTATTTTAACCCCCTAAGTTTGTTATTTTAACTAAACACGAAACAATTAAAGTTTATAAATTAACAAAAACACCCCCACCCACCCACGTATTACCGGCATCCGGCCACCACCACTAGAAGGTGGCTAGAATCTGCCAACATGGCTTACGATCGCCAAATCTGGCAAAAAAAAAAAAAAAAAAAAAATTCAGATTTACGACCAAAGATCTGGTCACATCTGGTTGTTGACGACGGTCATATCTTGGCCATCGTTGACTGGCCGTCGTCAATGACCAAACAACGGCCAAGATATGACCATCATCAATGGCTAGATGTGGCCAGATCTGGCCGTTTTGATCTGACTAGAAAAAGTCAGATCGACATATAACCGACCAAATCCAGTTGAACGTGTGCTATTCCGGTAGATTCCAACCACCTTCCGACGATGGTGGCCAGCTGTCGGCAATACGTGGGTGGGTAGGAGTGTTTTTATTAATTTATAAACTTTTATTGTTAGAGATGTTTAGTTAAATTAACAAACTTAAGGGTTTAAAAGTAATCTAAATATTTTAAGTTGAATAGAATATGATTGAATTTTGAAAATATTAAAACAAATGCATTTTTGAGTTTTAGGATAGGATAGTAAAAGTGTGCCAAACAGACCCTAGGTTTTTTAAACTGAAACAATATCAAAATGAGAGGTATTTTGGTACGTAAACAATAAAAATCTTCCTAATTTAAAGATGACATAAAGTGTTTTTAAATTCAACTGGAGTAAATCCCAATATTTCAAAATGCAAGACCTCAAAAGTTGACAAAACCTTTAAGTGGACTCGGCAAATACATTCTACAGGAGACAACGTAATTGTAGAACTCATGGATTAGTCTGTCTTCATAGAGTACCAGCAAATCAAGTATAGTTTTGAGTTTTGACTTCTATACGTATCAGTTTCATGAATCGTATCGTATCCACCAAGCAAAGTAATTAAGATAATGTAAAGAGTCATTAGATTGGTTGAGAAAATTGATGAGATAAAGAAGCGTGGAGTGTATATGTGAAGAACGTGTTGTAAGTGAGAAATGGGAATCTGGGTCCAGAGAGTGTCAATGTTTGCATGAATTGATCTTTCGTCTACTTTAGGAAGATGCCTTATCCTTAAGCATCAGTTGCAGAAATGAGAAAAAGTTTCTTAAATAGGACAAGGGTCATACTGTCCACTATGTTTTGTCTATTGGGGCTGTCAGGAATTCAAACGGGAATAGAAACAGGAACCCTACCTCTCGCAAAACACTAGTGGTTACTTACTGTTAGGTGATCTTTATCATCGGCATCGTCTCTAGGTTAAATATCTGGTCCATTATCCTCGTCTGCAAGTCTAGAAAACATCATGTTCAAACTCTCAATTATTTCATCCCTGGGTCAACTTCAGCTACAAAAGTAGTTGTGTCTGTGTGCTTTTGCTTCTGCAACTAACCACTTCATATGATGATACCTCCTTGCTCTTGTTGATTAATTTGCCATCCCAAGCTTCAATCTCCTGGTTACTTATTGAGTTATTAATTGTAGACCTCTGAAATTTTTTTAAATGAAATGTGAGCATTCAATTGCTAACTTTATAAACCCTCAATCAAAAGTCAGTTATCAGGAGCTTACATTTCATTCGTATTTTAAGTAGTATTTTAAAACCTGGCCCTGTCTGGTTGGTTGAACTGGGACCCGGAGCCTTCACCAGGTCAGGTTACAAATTTTTTTATTAATTGAAAACCTTATAAATTAGGACATCGATCCATGAACAATTGAAGGTTGGGTTGTTGGGGGTTTTGAAGAGGAAGGGTCAGTGAGTGGAATGGTGGCGACGGAGATGATTTCCAGTGAGTGAATCGACCGAAAATTGCAAAACTAAAGACCCAAAAAAAGCCTCGATTGGGGAGGTGAACGAGGGAGATTGTGAGATGGGTTTTGGTCAGGAGGTTGAGGGGAGTGTTTTTGTGT